CCACATTTTAATCAAAAATTCAAGATTTATCTCCTATATTTATTTAAAAGTCCGCACCACCCCCACCACCCGCTAACAGTCCAGTACCCAAACGCAAAAAAAAATATGCAAGATCTCGTAAATCTTCGACTTTTCGGTCAAAGTGCATGATAAATCATGAAAAACGGTTTGAAATTGTAAATAAAGCAAAAATTACCTGTTTCGATAAGCAAGTTTATATAAAATTACATGCTAGCTATCAGAAACTACTTAAAACAGTATAAAAATACCCTGAATTTGATAGGAATATTGGAAAGACGCTAATTTTTTACCAGAAAGCCCTGAAAGATTGACGCCTTGCACGCCCTGAAAGAATCTCTGCTAGCTTGCCTTTTTCCTTTTTATGCATGTTAGGATGTATATTCTGTTTCATAGCAGAATTCCGAAAGCCCGATTTCCTCTTGAATCTCGATGTATCCATCAATCACACCTCTCCTCCTCGCCAATTCATGTCTCGTTCCCCCTCCCGATTGTCGCCCTAGGATTCTCATTCTTTTTCCTATTTTCGGAGATGTAAAAAAGGGGTCTCCGTTTGGTTATTTGAGATGCGGCATGCGGCCTTCGGCTCATCGGGTGGCACCGGGCATTTCTCTACAATCAGTACAGGATCGACAATTGCAGGTTGGAAAGGTTTTTTATGGACCCTGATTTATCCTTTTAAATCCTATTTCTTCGTTAAAAAGCGATAATTATAATTTGAGGTTCTTTTGCATTATCGGGGGGGGGGGGGAGTGGAATTGGGTTCCATCGATCCAGAATGGCCTAGTAAATGTCTTAATAACGTTTTTAGCAAATTTTACTTGATGTAACGTGGAAAATCTACCTAAAGACCGTAAAAATTTAAAATAATGGTCGAAAAAACTAGTCGTAAAAACCAGTATAAACACTCCCTCGATTTATAGTAGAAAAATGATCTCCCCCGATAATGCAAAAGCGCCCAATTTGAGATCAACATAGTCGAGAACAGCACGAAAAATGATCCTATAAATCCGGATTTTTTCAAAATTAAAGGTATAGCAGATAACAGTGTTAGAACAATCCAATCTTCCCTAATCAAAAATTAAAAATGATATAAACATACTAAATTCAAAGCCTTAGAAAATATTCACAATCCGAGGTAACCATTGCCGAAATCAACATGAAAAACTAGCCTAGAAATCGTATTTTAGAAGTAAAAATAAACAGGTATCCGAGTGGAATTTGTATAAAACGTATTCCTGATAATAATAAAAATTATAAAAATATAAATAATCTCAAAGAATTGAAAGAAATAATGAAAGAAAAACAATGAAGCTGCTCTCCCCTTGGCCGTCAGCCGCTAGTGAGGGCTCCCTGTGCGCTCTCTTCCCCTGGGCCACTCGCCCCCCATCTGGCCCACTCCCCCGACATATCCTCCCCTCTCCATCCCCTCATAAACTTACCTGGCTGGGAGATTCCCGTGATCATGAAGACGGGATCTCTATGGCGAGGCTTGGCCATTGCACTTTTGGCCGGGTTGACCTGTAAGGCAGCTCCGAGTTGGGGTTCGCCTACAGCTAAATTTTGCGTGAGGGGCTGCGTTCGCGCGGCCCTGAAAATCTGATGATACAATAAATATAATAGAAGTACCGTTTCCATAGTTTTGCAAAGCATAAATAATTTTTTGAGGTCCTTCGGGTCTGGCCACCGGTCTACAACCTAACAGCTACTCCTCCTTCACAACCCACCACTACTCAACCACCACATCAGCCGCCCCGCCGGCCAACGTGGCCGTCACCTTCCGTCCTCGGTGGAGTTTTTTAGCTTTTTGCTTCTTCTTTAGTTCTTTAATATTCCGGTTTGCGGGGAGGAAAAATGTTTGCACGTTTCTTTCACGATTTTTCGACCTAAAAACGTGCAAAAATGCACGAAGAAGCTAATCATTACCCAACATTTAGAAAATCCAATTTCATTTGACCGATTTCGTACTTTTCCACATATTTCTATTTCACCTTTTTCGATTTTTATTGGCTTTATCATTCTAAAGTGTACTAATGTATTTTCTAGCTATTTATTAAATAAAAAAACGCCGAAAATAGCCAATTTTGATGAAAAATAAATTTTAATTACTTGAAAAACGTGATTTTCTGGATTTTGGAAAGGTTTTAGGTGTGTAACAGGAGGGAAACACTAATTATTATTGTACTATCAGGTTTCTTTGGAAAAATCTAATGATATTTTCCTCCCCGCCAAGTAGAACAGTACCCAATTATCGGTAAAGGTTGCTTAAAGGGGGGGGACAGACAAAACGGTTAAAAATACAACATTTCCTTCCACCCCGTTAAGCAACCTTTACTCAATTTTTATAATTTCTCACGTGCGCAAAACCAATCTTCCGCTTCAACTCTTGTTTACAGCCACCTTTTTCCATGGGATTCCCTTTTCCATCCGTTTTATATTTTCGTGCCGTGCTTTCCGGAATAAGATGCCTAATTGGGCTTTCGTTTTCCTATGCCTCCTCCCCCTCCATTTCTCTACCCTCACTTCCGTAAATAGGAAATACGTAACCCGAAAATTCGTCTTTTTTAGGTATCTCTGCGCTCAGAATTTTGAGTAAATCTTCAAAAAACGCGCAGCGCTTGGCACCACTTTTGCATTCCAGAAATGGAGAAAAATTTGCCGGAGAAATCCCGGGAAAATGATCGAGTGTTAATGGATTCTGGCGCGGCACACATTGATGAAATACGATCCCAGGCTCAGCACAGCATTTGAGGGGGAGTGAAAGCTTTCTAGGAAATGAGCATCAAGTTTTCGTCTCCATTAGATGGTCCCGCAGCGTTTTAGCATTTTTTAGGGCGTAGCAAATTACCGAATTCCTATGGACAGCTCAAGCCTAGTTCGCTAATGAAAATTAGGCGCTTTTGCATTATCGGGGGGCGAGTTAATTTTTTCCTTAATTTTCTACGATAAAATCCTTTGCCCCCGATAATGAAAAAGCTCCAAAAGCTTCTAATTAGACGCTAATTTTGTCAAGTGAAGCTTTAAAAAGGACGTCAACTTCCAAGTGAAATCGCTAAATTTACCTGCATTTGATTATAACTTTTTTATTTTTGAAGGTTTGGCCTTGTGAATTCGGGTACCGAACGCTTTTTTGGTTGCAAATCCTGGGTAAAAATTTGAAATCGATTCGATAAAGCCGGCTAAATTTTATCGACTTTCATAGGGATGTCATAGGGATTTTCTATTATCCCCACTAATAAGCTTTATCATTAAATATCAGATGCGCAGGATGAATTGCGTGCTGTTTGCCCGTGTGACCCTCGCCATTCATCCATTCGCCCACCCTAATTTGGGCAATTTCCTAGCGGCTTCTCCTTGGCACCTCTCTGACTGTCTCTCTCTCGCTCGCTGGCTCTCTCTCTCTCTCTCTCTCTCCCGATCTTGACGACAACTCGAGACGACATCCTCCTGGCACACCCAGAAAATGGACACTGCTTTTTGCCCAGCCATCTGGCCAACTAGCTAGGACAAATCAAGCTAATCTGCGGTTGTCCGCTGTTTTCTGGGATATTATCGTGGATTTACTGTAACTCTTTTATTCATAAAAAAACTTAAAACTTAAAAATGTTTTTATGTTTTGTAGTAACTAAAAACGATTAAAAACATTTTAAAAATACGCTACAACATACGAAAATTTTTAGAAAGGCATCGGCTTCTCCAATTCTTTCCCCCCACCGCTAGCAGGCGAGTACCCCCAATTCTCAAAATGAATCTAGCTCGTTTACGACACGCTATTTTATACTTTCTATATTAATTTATTTTTTCATAGTGTTAATGGTAGAAAATTAACTAAATTCTTATAAAAACGTTTTTTTTCAGCTCGTGGTCCGCCACGTACAACACCACGCGCGCGATGGAGGGCCGGAAGGGTGGTCATGATCGCATGCAAGGTATCGAATCGTTTTTGGACTTATTGTTTATTTTTGACCCCCCCCCCCGATAATGCCAAAGAACCCAAGTTGAATCCGTTTTAATAAATCCCTAACTTCCAAAATTCATTTATTGAATGACGCCGCGCCAGAATTCTCTAATTAAATGCGATGAGGCGGGAGATATCTTTTCAGCAAAAATTATTTACCCGCCTTACCACTTCTATGATATTCCCCACCCCCGTTATTTTTGCTGGCAGATTTGGGTCACGCGATAGGATGCTAGAAGGGATAGAGAGAGAAAGAGAGAGAGAGAGATAGCGAGAGAGAGAGAGAGAGAGAGAGATAGCGAGAGGGCCATAAGAAGAAGATCCATGCTCGAATCCATCCCTCTAATCATGGCCTTTCATTTCGAATATCCCCTCCACCTAAATTCCAAAATCATGGATTTTTCGCGGGAAATGCCTGATCGTCGGCTGAGGGTTTTTATTGGTGGTCTGAAGAGGGTGGGTAAATTTATCGGCGTTTTTTATCTAACTAATTAATTACCTTAATTTTTCGGCATTTTCTACTGTGTCGGTATTTTTTCGTTATTTTCTTCGACGCTATTTGATAAAACATTACAAAACAGACTAGTTTTTTAATTACGGTTTAGGAATAATTTGATAAAAAATTTTATAGCCAAATTTTCGGAATTTTTCGACATTTTCGAGATTCTTCGAGATCTCGGCTTACGAAAGTAAATTAAAAATAAATTGTTTAATTAAAATAGCTATACAAAATAATTAAATAGATAAGTTAATAAAATAATTGTGATACCTTTACAGGTGTTTTCGTTGGTGTCTCACAAATGGGATCGGCGCCCACCGAGCTCGTCAAGCGGGGACTCCCTAGAGTCACGCGGCCCAGAGATCCTCCACCAGCACCTGGTAAGGGGTTTAAATCCTTTTAGATAAACTATCAGTGAAAATATAGAGAAAATGCTTATAACTATAGTTTTACTTATTTTGTAAATTAAAATATTATTTAACCTGATTTATAAATGATTGATATCAATTTTCGCCGTCGACAGCCATGCCCAGTGTATCGCAATATCAGCAATCCTCCACGAGACGGTATTCAACCCCTGTCTCACTCCCTTTAAACACAGGCTTCAGATTGGCATTTGGCGGCGTGGGCACGGACAGTAATCAGAGAATGAAGAAACAACTAGATTTTTATAAGAATACAACACTGACGAATCTCAGCAAGGTAATATTATTTAAGTTAATAAGATTTAAACTATAGCATTTATCAAATTATGATGTAAAAGTTATACTAAAAGCTGATATTAATAGTAAAGGAATTAACATATTGCTAAAATTAAATAATTAAATAGAAGAAATTAATACATTTTCCAGCTATTCTGCGCGATCGTCCTCGTCACAGCATTTTTCCTTGTCATGTCGCGATCCTTCAATTTCGAGGCCCATTTCCCGGATGGTATCTGGGGAGGAACAAGGCATGGCCGACACTTCGCAACACTACAAAACAACTCCATATTACCGTATTCTGTGCAACCCGCGTAGCCGTCAAATCACGTATTTATCCATCCTAAAATTTGCCCCCGATTCCCATTGCAAAATGTGAGTTTTTATAATAATAAATATACTATTGCATATGATTTTTGTAACCCCACATGATTCCGCTTTGTTCGTTTAGGGGCTGGCGGATAGTGCGCGAGGGGTAGCGAGGCAGGCACCCAGACGACCGCCAATGGTGGCTGGGGCACGGTTTAGGCGGCGGCTGGCGGCGAAAAGAGGCTGGGGGCGGCCGGGCAAAGACGCAGAGACAGAGGGGATCTCTGGGCTCTCCACCACCCACCCACTCCCTCGCCCCTCCCATCCGGTTCGCGCTACACGAACACAAAGGCTAAGGCTCCACAGCATTCCTCCCTTTACCAATTGTGTTCGTTTGACCGGGACAGGATGGCAGGCATACAGGGGAGGGGAGAATCTGCGCTCTGGCCCCGCCCCCCTGTCCTCTTCCCCCGTGCCCTATAGTCTAGTATCACTCTTTCGCCGCCTATGCCGTGCCCCACCCCTCCCCTGTGTGTCTGCGCCCCCGCCGTCTGGCGCACTATCCGCCAGCCTACTCACGAACACCGCGGAATCATGTGGGCTCGGAATGCTGTGAACCCGGATGAATCAACCGATTACGCCATGATAACATGGTGTCAAGCGGAGCTTAGTATACCGCTTCGAAGTGTGCTAAGAAAAAGCCATTATTATGTGCACGTTTAGCACATGTAAAAGGCGTTTTACTTATATGCTAACAAGTGCATCTTTAACATCTGCCAAATACAAAGAGAGCAAAAACAACAATGAACAACTGGGGAAATAGCGGGGGAGGAAAATTACTTATATGTTAACAAATGCCAAATACGAAGAGAGCGAAACAACAATCGACAACTGGGGAAATAGCGGGGGGGGGGGGACAATAATCTAGCAGTTAAGAGATAGTAACGGGCCGTATTTGGAGTGGAATTAATTGCGAGTGAGACCTGAGACATGGGATGACAAGATAACAACTGGCAAAGCGTCTAGAAACGGAGGTGCGGTTTGTTTTTGGCGATATGGCGGTCGACCATCTCCCAAAAGCACTGAAGACGGGCACGGTCAAGATGACGTTTGTAGGGGGAGAGGGCCAGCACTTTGATCTGCAAAAAAAAAATCGGGTTTAAAAGTATATAAAGTTAGTTTCAAACGATTTTCCGAGCTTTGCTAAGAGCACAACCATATCAATATCTGAATAAATCGGATTTTTGCCAACAATCTAATTTGGAAAATAAAAAATCATGCTAGTATTTGTTGGCATTGAGATAGCATTAGTGCTTATTATTATCTCCTATATAAAAATAATTTTTTCATTGCTCTAATTTAAAGGGATGCCGACGGCATAGACAATCGGTTACGCGCTGGAAAGAAAATGTCTCTGCACCTCTCCCCGGGGCGCGCTTTCTGCCCTGTTGGCTACTTGCCAATTTGTTGATGAGGGGGGATCGACACATGCCGTCGGCAGCCCTTTAACTTCTAATTTTTAACTCATACCAATGTGATTGTTTATTATTATTAATCCTGCCAAAAAGGTTATTTATATTTCAAATATTAGACTAAATCCATGTCAAAGGATTAAAAAAGATATACAGGGTGTCCCATAAAAAAGCACCCCTCTGGCATTTTACCGTGTTACATCCAATCGGTCCCAAATTTGGACCAGAGCTGTATCAGACCCTAAATAACCACAATCCTGAGTTATAGCCCGCCACCTACAGTAATTTTCGAGATAAAACAAAAATAAACTTTCTCATCCGTTTTTCGTAAGGTTTTCGTCGGAATCGACCTTTCAAATATTAAGTGAAAATGAAGCGGCAAGCCTTCTTTACCCCTAGGAATTTTTTCCTGGGAAAAACTAATCAAAGAAACGTTGATTTCAACAATTTTTGTAATGGAAAGTCACCCCCGACATTAGGCGAAATTAGGGATTCGCAGCCGGAAGTCGATGCAAATCGATGCAAAGTCCAAGAAGATAGCCGAAAAAACCGTTAGGAATAGCGTAAAAAATAGTATTTTGGCGATAACTCGAAAACTACTGTAACGATCTGGCTATAACTCAGGATTGTGGTTATTTAGGGTCAGATACACCCTTCTGAAAAGTATGGGACCGATCGGATGTAATACGGCGAAATGCCGGAGGGGTGCTTTTTTATGGGACACCCTGTACTATAAAGCCGCACAAAACTACATAAATGTGAGAAAAATTCCCAATCAGCGGCAGTAACAAAAAGTCGAAAAATCATTTACCGGCAACTTGGCGACATTCGGGTGAACGTTCGCGTTGTCGTAGGTCAGGTGGAAGCCGGGCACCTAGGAATCCAATTTAAATCAAAACAATTTAAAATTACATGGTGAAACATCTCGTTGGGGTCGCCTTTGCATAGGGGCCAGCCTTTGAATTGCCAAGTGGGACCCTGCAAAAATTTTTAATAAAAAACCAGCAAGCACAGCTTACCATCGCAAAAACGGCGACAACCCGATCCCATTCCTCGCTGGTGAGCCGTTGCGGGGCGTCGACGACGCGATAGGGGACTGTTTCGTCGCCCTTTTTCCGCTGGATCAAAACCTGAAAAAATGGATCAATGCTAATCAGAAAAAGTAAAATTCAGATGCCCTATCAGAAGAGAAAGAAGAGTGCGAGAAACCGAAAAAAAGAAAAGGAAAGAGAGGGCATAAAAAAAAATCAAGTTTTCTAGTTCAAAAAGCACACCTCTTTTTCAAGTTTGCCCTGCTGCTTGCCCACGTCCTCAGTGGCGAAGCTCAATTCCTGAAACCAGAAAAATTATAAAATCTACGCCGGTCGGTCGGGATTGTTGGCCACCTCAAAAACAATTGTTCTAGTAGCAGGGGAAGCGATTTGCGTTTTTTTTTCCGTCTGTTGATAAGCCAGCGTATTTTCATGGCATTTTAGTAGTTTTTGGTTGCAAGAAAGTTCTCGAGAAATGCAAAAAAATTCGAAGATTGTGAACTTTCAATTAACTAAAAATGCATGAAAAGCATTAACTGAATGTATTCATGCATTTTTTATAAAACTGAAAAGAAAAAGAAAATGCTCTGTAATGTGTTTGTGAGGCGGTACAATTGCTGCGAGAAAATTTGGTTTCTCCCCTGCGAACCGGCCAGCACCAAAAAATTCGGCAGAGCGGAATCACCAAACCTGCAATTTCAGGACCTATTGGTCAAAAATCAATATGCAATCAGGGCGAAAAACACCTGGAGAACGTTGCGGACGTTGTACATCGAGATGATCGAGTACTGGTTCGTTGAAGGTGGGATGATGATGATCGGCGTACGACACGTCCGCTTCTTCGGGGCATCGCTGGAAAAGGGGTTAGTATTTAAAAGCAATAAAGGTCAATATTCCCGAAGGAACCACCGCGCCTTGGCGCTGGCATGTTAGCGGTGGAGAAAAATTTTCGCGATGACATAAGCTAGTTGTTTATCTTTAAACTTTGTAAAATAAAATTCCGTATTTCCTCTAATGGGGTTGTATGAGAGGGAGGGATATATTTTTATTGATTTTGAACAAGTCCAAAGATTTCTAGCAGTTCAAACTGCTCATAACCGCTCAGGAACACAGTTACACACGTCTGTCTGTCCGTCCGTCTTGTTCGGGATTCAAGGTTTAAAAAACTGGTTCCTTAGAACCCCCTCCCCGGTAATGCGAAAGAACCGTAAAATTTAGCCCGTCTACTTTCCGATAAATATTTTATTCTCTCGCACTAAGGATAGAAAATACACGGCAAAAATGTAGCTTCCACCCCCGCTAATAATCCAGAACCCGAACAAGTAACGAACAGCCCCTGACCTGTTTGTAGACGAAACCGAGGGCTGTGACTGGGTGAGCGCGCCAATCTTCGCCGGAGCTGAAAAAATATTTAAAACAAAAATTGCCAGAACTGCCATACAAGTCAAATAAAATTGTCTAAAAACGTACCACCAGCCAACGGTTTCTTTTCGGGTGATGCTTCACGTTTTGCCAGCTCGACGCCGATAAACGTATTCTCAACTCCGAATTCGTCGTCGCACCTGCAAAAAAAAGTTATTGCGGTCGTCAAAGTAATAAAATCTTTGGTTATTTCGCATTCTCGGGGGTGGGTGATTTTTTGCATAAGTCTTTTTTTGTGTATTTTTCAAAAGAAATTTGAAAAGGTTGAAAAATTGAAATTCGATTTTGTTGTATCTTTTTTGACGAAAATTTGTAAAGTTTTTACTTTGAGGAATAGTAAATCGCTTACAGTTATTTACATTGTTAGAAAGGCTTCAGTTATTTACATTTGTAACTCTGCAACCCAACAAAAACAAAATAGGTTTCCCACCCCTGATAGTGCGAAAGAAACAAATCGTTTGGTACGATAAACAAAAGCAAAAAATCTCCTATTTCATAATCGGCTTTACAGAGAAAACTGCGAGAGCCGAGGATCTTGCTAGCGTATTCGATTAATAGCGTTTGCAAAGGTGCAAGCAATTTGCGATTGAAAGGTTAGATACTATTGGGCAAAATTCTCTTTAAATTTGTGACAGAATCTAGACTTCCTAACAAACTAAAAAACAACTAAAACCCACGTGTCCTGCTGCTCCTGGTTGTAACGGGAGTAGCCGGGCTTTGTGCGTGGATTCGGGTCCTAAATAAAATTATCGAAGAAAATTCGAGATTCGCACCACATTGTTGTTGTTGCGCGCCGCCCTCTCATCGCGCATCTAAAAATCGAGCTTGTCCAAAAAAAGGCAAATATAAAAAATAAAAGAAAAAACCGACCTTCAAGCCTTGGATAACCTTGAGGACACAGGAGAAATCATTGTTCTTGATCCTGCTCTCCATGCAATTGCTGCGCGTGTGCCAGACGCGTTCCAGTTTCTGAAAAATACAACGAAAGATGTTTTTTAGTATTGTCTATTCGCGACAAAGTTTTTTCCGCGCCTGAAGCACCGTTTCTACCCTTTTTAACAGCTAAAAACAGAATTGGAAAAAAGTGGTCAAAAGGAATAGCTAAAATCGGCATCAAATAGTGAAAATCTAATTCCATGAAAAAAAGCAAATCCAAAAGCCATACCCGAAGAATAGAAGGCGGCAGGGGGACGGCCTCGTCAGTTGTGATATCCCTAGAAAAACAGGTATCAAAAAAACTTAGAAAACCCACATATCATCGAGGACCGTGGCGCGCTTCTGATGGTTGGCTGTCTTCTCTCGCAGCGCAGCGATCTACAAAGAAAAAATATTTTAATTTTCTTGAAAACTTTTTAGTACAGTCTTATAAATTTTGCCGTGTATCCTTGCGTGTATATCGACCCTTCTGTTTCCTATGGCGTTTTCCAAATTTCAATAAAACACGAATTTATAAAATTAAACCCGGTTTTACTCATTTTTGGGTGTTAGGGAGTGATAATTTTCATAAAGTGAAAAATAGAAATTTTCTCCTTCTCGCAAGTTGCACCCGCGCGTATGGTCGGGGCTGGGTCGCCGGACCCGAGCTACGGAAAAGTCAAACCGTATGTGCAAAACACGGATTTCAGCACCTAAGACCCGCGATGCGGGTTTTGGGCCGCTTGTCATATCGTAAATTAAAAATATCTTCTCGCACCTTGTCGGCCGTCGAGTTATCGTCGAGCTCGTGCAGATTTGACTCATCGACAGCTGACGTGGCCGAGCCGGCCTAAGAGAGCAATATTCTGGAAACTCATAAAAATCTAACCTCCCATTGCACTGTTGTCTCGGCGCTCGGGTCGAGCTTAGCGCGCTTGTGCTCCGGTTCGAATTCCTAGAAAAAAAAACATTTGACAAAGAAATGGCTTTACCTTAAATCTGAAAGCGGGGATCGACGGCGTGGGCAGGGCGAGACGATCGAAATTGCTAGGCACTTCTTGACGATCACCGCGCAGGTAATCGAGCAGATCACGACTAAAAAAAATTATATAATTGATACCACAAACACTATGATTATTTATTATTAACCAAACTTCAGGAAATATAAAAACAAACCGATCGGGACGACCGACGGCTCGGATCGACCTTCTGGCCGCCTCCTTGACGTAGGCTGGATGGGAGATGTCGCGACGTTCCCAGATGAAGTACAGCGACTCCAGCGTGTAGTAGTCATCGGTGCGGCCTGGAACAGGGAGTTTTGTTTTTAATACCCAGGTAGTTAATAAAAAACCGCTAATATAAAGCCAGGAAGTTTTTCAGAAATGTTTATGTCTAACCCTCAACGTCAAACTGCGACATTTTACCTAATAAAAAAATTGCTTTTTGGAAGAGCAGGACATATTACCAATTAAACTACTAAAATCGCTCACTGTTTGCACATCGTCAATATATAAAGTCTTTAATAAGTTATATTTATTTTTTAACAACTAAAACCGTAGATTGATTACTAACTAATAAAACGAAGCGAAACATCGGCACTGACCATAAATCGTGAGGTTCGTCTTCGCGTTCTTGTCGTAGACAATGCCGTCGAACATGTAGTACGTGTCGTTGCCCTAAAATGCGACAAAAAAAAACATTAAAAGATAGCCAATTCCAACCTGCACAATCTCCTTGAAAGTGCGGCGGCCTTGCGCGTATTCGCGCAACACTTGAAGTGGGTGGTCCATCTGAAAAATACGTTTTAAAAGGTATAAATATTTAAAGTGAACGCAACCTTGTCTAGCAATGCGCATCAAGCTTTTTTCTATTGCAACTAACAAGCTGTTATATGAGGTAAATGCAAAAAGGAAATACTAATCGAATAGTAGGCGAGCGTTTTCCACAACTAACAATTTTGAAAAAAGTGGAACGTCAGCTGCTCAACCAATAAAAGTTGCCGTAAAACCTAAATATACGTTTCAAGCTTTAGGCAGCAAACCAGTAACATAAAGCAGCGTACTGTTATTTTAAAAAGGTTGAAAGGTTTTAAAGTGTTTTTAAAAAGGTTAATTTAGGTAACCAGCTATTCTAAAAGTGCAAAAAAAGGCAGAGCGAAGTGCCGGCAAGGCTTGAAGATTACTGTAGCGCTGGTAACGCTGGTACGCGGTGCTTCTATGTACGCAGAACTGTCCACGGGCGGTGTGGTTCGTACTCTCTAAGCGGAACAATTCCCAGATTTTTTTGTTTTATAAATGACGATTGATCTCGAAGTTTCATAGAAACATTGAAAAACAAATTTAATTAAGACCAGGGTTGAAAAGCCGCTCCGCGGAGCGGCTTTTCACCCCTGGGCCCCGTCTAGGTCCGATCACAAAAATACTATGCATATTCGGCTCGAATCCCGCTGACGAAAATGGGAAATAGCCCGGTGGCTTGATTTTATAGGCAATATCCACTTCCGGCACATGCAAATTTTGCCTAACAAAGGAAATTTTACAAAAACCTAAATTTAATGTCGAAAATAGTAAATTTTGAAAAATCTAATTGGTCGGCAGTCATCTTCATTCCATTACGCACCAAACGACGTATCAAACATGCCGGAAAACTTCTTCCCTGACCCGTTATGAGCGGAACATACATCCGGAAGTGGATGCAAATCTACACAGACACACACACACACTATTTTTTTATATATAGTAGGATGTTCTACGAAAATTGCGCACCTTTTGAGAACAAGATACCGAAAATCTATTCAGGTCCTTATTTGTGATTAGGATTTGAAGTTTTTGAGCTTGGTTTACGTGTTCCTTGCTAACTTCACAGGGCTCTATTTTTAGTGAAATCCGAGCCCATATTTGGTATAATCAAGGTCGATTACCCTCAATTTCGTGAAACTAGCGTTGAAAATGGAAGGAAACGTCTGTTTTGCACAAAATACATCTTGTTGCCAAATTGCTATTATCTTCTTCCCGTTCTCTGAATTCTTAGCGATGTTGGTGGCAGTTTTTGGAGCTGAAACTCGTTCGCGGTCAATTTCGTTCTGTGCAACGAGGTGAGCAAGAGTTGTGATGATTCTGAGCTGCTGCTTTCAGTGGATGCGCATGGCGCTTGTTGCGTCGACGAGCACCAGGGGCTGCTAGCGAGGGAGTACGCCGAGGAGTGCCATCGAAAGAAGAACATGCTGCCGGATGAGAGCGCCTTCTACCGCCGGCAGCTCACGATGCCCCCGGTGCGCATTTGCTTTCGAATTATAGCTGTGCAAATTTTTTTTGGATTTTTATATATTTTTCCAACTTTTTCTATAGGTCTAGAATCTATTACCTTCCAGAAATGTATAGTAGTCTAGTCTAGTGGTGTTTTACGTGTGCTTTTATGAATAAATAACTGTATTTGAACTAGAAAACTTATTCGAAGGCTTTTAAAAAGGTTAGAAAGTCGAAATTTTGATAAAAATCGGCCACTTTATTCGAAAAATCTATATTTTTCATAATTTTTTTCATAAAAATTGATATTGATAGCAACAACTTGGCTACCAGTTCTTTATTTGCCAGGCAATCCCTTGTTCTTTGGGTCGGTGGCCGACCTCGATGACGAGGAAGAGGAATTGGATGACCGGTCGCTGGAAACCGAGAACCACATCGGTATTCTCACCATTTCGTTTTCCAAGCAATTTTTGGTTCCAGGGCACGCGCCGCACCAACCAGGCTTAAATGATGGCGCAGTGGAAGTGTAAGATGCCCTTATTTTTAAAAAGAAAAAGAAAAAAAGAAGAGTACCTCGTAGGAGCTTCAGATCTGTGAATTTTGCTATTAGAAAATCCTACACTTTCATTGTTTTTTCTGGGCGACTATAAACCCATCACGTCATTTTCCACCGGTCGTTAGGAGTGTACGGACGTCGAATCAAGGAAAACAAGACCTTCAGGCTGTGCTTTACGGGCCTCCACATCGATTGCGCATGTTATCCTGGGGTGTCAAGTGGATTGCCGTGTAGCCGGTGTAAAATTCATAGAATTTAATGGTTGTAGGTTATCAATATGCTTTAAATATTTGTTTGAAGGTTTCTAACCCCTGAGTTCTTTAATTTTTGCGGCCATTTATCCTATTTTGGAGATTTTTGGGGAGCGCGGGGCGCTGGGGGAATTCCCCCGGGGAAATTAGGAAGGACCGGGTAAAAACCCTCCCCCCCTTTCCCCTTCTTTTTTTTCTTTCTGAAAAAAAACTACCTGTTCGTCTCTTTTTCCCCCCTCCGGTCTTCTCAAGCCAAAAACTTAATTAATTTAATGTCCCCCTATTACTAATCATACTCCTCCATTTTCCCCCGGAAAGGACACCCCCCACATTTTTTTATATGGGCAATTAGGGGAAGGGGAGGACTACGATTCACACTTCGAGACGGTTGATTAGACAAAGAGAGAGAGAGAGAGAGAGAGAAGGCGGAAGGCCCGCCCCGGTTGCCTCAAAAGTACGCGAATGCACTGTTTTCTGGCCAGATCTGCCTCACAAGATCTAGAGCCGACGTTCTGGAATTTCTAGAGTTTTTAGACAGTGGATAAGACAAAAATACTGGCAGCTAAATTCCGAAATTCAAAATACCGACCGCCATATTTGGGTTTACGCGTGTCGGTCTTTCAGCATGTCGAAGGTTTGGTTGGTCGGGATTTTGTCCTGTCGGTATTTTAAGGGGCGTGCTTTTAACTTTCGGGGTTTTGGCATGTCGGCATTTTCCTTCTATCGGAAATTTGGCTGGCGGGGTTTGCCTTTTCGGTGTTTTAGTTTTAGTTGGTTAGTATGTCGGTATTTTGTTGTCGGGATCTTGGCCCATCAACAAAATGCTCCTGAAAAAAAATAGTTGCATTTTGGAAACCATGGCCACCCCCAAAGCAATCAACCCCCAAAAAAATAGGCTCATTTTTCGCGTGTTTTTTTCGGCTCATTCTCACCCTCATTTCAGAGAGAGAGCTACTCATTTTGTCGTTTTTCGAAGGGGGTGATGAGGTAGCAGAGCAGCCCTCTCCCCCCTCTATAATTTGTGAGAGGCCAGGTGGAATGCCATGATTACAGAGGGGGAGACCCTCTCAACAGCACGCAAATTGATTCGAAAAGGGCCCCAGGACTTTTTCTCGAAAATTTCAAGGATTGTGCATTAAAGATATGCTAACCTTAAGTTTTCCCGAAAAAGCAAAAAGTTTTTCCGTGGCGGGGGGTTGAACCCGGGTCGTGTGGGTGGTGGGCGCGAGAACATACCAGTTGGCCAGAGGGGAAATATCGAATCTTGCTCGTTTTCTTTAAATTGCTCCGGTTAATTCCCAATTAACCTCTGCTAGTTGGCCGTATTTATTGTCGTTTGCAGACCATAATAAAAGTCATATTTCTACCTATATTTCTGCAATCTCGTCGGTTTATTTTCTAAGAAATCTCTCGTAGTTTGCCATATTTAATGTCTTCTCGAGCCTAAGGGACAAGTCATATTTTTATCTATATATCTTTAGTACCCTCGGGTTTTAATAACGGCTGGCAGTTTGCCACCTTTATTGTCCTTTTATTTTATGTTTTAGACCTGAAAATAAGTCGTATTTTAGGAAGAAAGAGCCTACAATCTCTATAAGAAGGTGATCCCCATCGCACCTTCCATTCTATCATGTTCCAATGATATGGGGTCAGGTTGTTCGTCAGCCGAGGTTAAGGTACGTACGTTCTATCGTAATTTGTATGGTTTGAGCATTTTCGATACCTTGGTCTCAAAAGATGCGTAATTTTTCGCAGAACATTTTAATATATTTAGTTTTTCGATTTTTCCATTAAATTTTCGAGATAAATGATGATTAACAAAATTGGGGAGTTTTTCGGCTGAAAAGAACGAATTGCGCCGTCCGTGGACAGTTGAGCGTGGATAGGAGCGCGGTGTACCAATTGTCCTATCCGTGCCTTTGATTAGGGAATGGAACCGAATCGCTTGCGCGATTTTTCTAGAATATTTTTAAGAATAAGACGCTTTTTATTATTCTTAAAACGTTATTCTTTATTATTCTTACGTATTTGGACAATATTATTGCCAAAATAGCTATTTTTGGGCAGTTTTCTAAAATTCTTTAAGAGGCCGAAATCTGGTCCACGCCCCCTGCTGTGATTCCTGGAATAGCCAGATGCGGCGCAACGGACGCGCTGCATGATCTTACTCTGTTTGAACGGGACGCTGAATTAAAAATTCTGATACTATTTTTGGAATCCTCAACGAATTTTGATCATCCCAGACTTTTAAATTATGAAAATTGACCAAAGAATCACCGAGATCGAGAGATTGGGTGCCAAACGATTACGACATGAAAACCCCGCACACTCAAAATGCCGTTTTCCCCCCAAAAAGAATTCGGTTTCCAAACATTTTACGTTTCGCAATCAAATAACTTTAGCACTTCTCGGCAGTGACTCTTTTTGACCCGAAGGTTCAACCCGCACGATGAATTTGACTCTGGCCCCTTTAATATTTAAGCTTATCACTACTGCACAATATACCCAAAAATACACAAATATACCTAATTGTACTTTTTTTCCAAAATTCTCTCGCTCCAAACGAAAATCCGTTTGCAGGAGTCTGAGGGCGAGGGATGGTGGGTATCTGTTGTAGGAAATATGGTACTGTAGACAATTTAAGGCCAAAATATAATATATTATAGGAGAGGGCAGCCACATCAAAACGAATTGACAGGAATCTGAGGAAAGAAGCCGAGGGAGAGATCGGAAATCAAAAATTGCTGTTGCTGGGTGAGTTCCGTGGATATTTTTAGATTCTGGGCTGTTAGCGGGGGGGGTAGGTTGCATCCTTCTGCCGAATACCTATTATAATAAAAATAGAAGGTAAAATATTTTTAATAGTGTTTGTCATAGTTTCGGATTATTAAAAAGCCATAACAAAATGCAAAAAATTTTACATTTTCAACATTTTTCAAAATTTCAAAAACTTAATATTTTTACCGAATTTTTATAGCTAAAAAACGTTAAATCCTATTAAAGTAGCTTTTCTCGAATTATGCCTCGTCTACAGAACCATGAAAAGGCTTCCCTTTGCTAACCCCGCCCCCCGCTAACGCACCAGAACCAATTTTAAACAGGCAATGGTAACGCGATTGGCCATCAATATGCCAAAATAATCTTGTCGAAAAATGCAGAAAATTGGAATTCCAGCTTATTGAAATTTCGAACACCCAGATTTCGAAAAATTGGTTTTCGACAAACTGAAATTTCTAAAAAAATTTTGGACAAACTACTTTGAAATAATATTTTTGACATAATGAATTTCGACCTGTTACTTTTCGACAAAGTGAATTTTTGGACAAACTTAATATCAACATTCTAATTTTCGGTAGAACAAAAATAACCCGATAAAGCCCCCATTTCAGGCACGGGCGAATGTGGCAAAAGCACCATCCTGAAGCAAATGCAGTAAGTTTCTATGTTTGAAAAAAATTCCATTTTCCAGAATCCTCCACAGCAAAGGTTTCGCCCAAAATGAATTGGCCGAGAAGAGACAGGACGTTTATAGCAATATTATTGTAGGTAAGTAACTTGCATTTTCGGATTACGATGTTATAATTGTTTTTTGAGGTATGGCAACGATAATACGTGCCCTAGACAAGTTCATCTACCAATTGGCCGATCAGGATCGGGAGGTATGGCTTAAAAACTTGTTTTTATAGAGAATATATAGGTTTTTATTGTTTTCTTTTCTAAAAGGTAAATATTAAATGTTTATTATCATAAATTTAAGTATTTATCAAATGGAAAACGTTTAGATGGACGCCAGGCGGATATTAGCAGTAGCCGAAAGCGAGAAAAGTGATCACAGCTTCACACCCGAAGTTTTAATGGCCCTCCATGTAAGAAAATAGCCTATAATTAAACCTTAAATCAATTTATAATTGTAATAAAAATAGTTATAATAAAAGTACACGTTTTAGAATCTCTGGAAAGACCCTGCCATCCAAAAAGCCTTCTCGCGACGCTCAGAATTCCAAATCGGCGACAGTTTCCGGCAGTAGGTTCCCCCTATCCGGTGCCCCATCTACCGTACCCCTTCCAGTTTCATGGATGATTTTGATCGAATCGCTACGCCGAGCTACGTGCCGACGGTTGATGATTTTCTCCATATCCGGGTGCCAACTACAGGGGTTGTCCAGGTGCACATCACCATTCAGAAGTGCATATTCAGGTGGAGTTGTCATTGATTTTCAGCGGATGCTTCTTTCAAAATTCCGAAATTCCAAGATGCGGAAATGTCGATATCTCGGCATTTTTGGCAGTATAAATTTTCGGTATTGTCAAATTTCGGTTTGAAATGCCTACATTTGAATTTCGACAGTACAAGCTGAAATATCGACATTTTAAAACCAAAATCGTACGGAATTTCAACGTCGGGTACCATTTTTTTGGGGTCCAGAAGTCCGGATATATTAAGTAGAATGTATTTTAATAGAATTTTTGGTAAAATTTAATTATTTTTCAAGTAGAAAAATTTGTCTCAAGATCTTGTAAATTTGCGTTTTGATCGAAATCCGACCATGTCTGTCGAAAAATCGATATTTTTATATTTTTCATACAATTTTGCAGTTTATATGTTTAGAAAGCATGTAGAAACGCTCTTCTGGTTTTATTATAAAACCTAGATCCTAAAGAAAACACCGCCCTCCCCCCCCCCCCGTTAATGAAAAAGCTCCTGTCATCGTTTTATTCAGGGTTTTCGACGTGGGTGGACAGAGGTCAGAACGGCGAAAGTGGATCCATCATTTTGATGATGTCAATGCGGTCATCTACATTTGTGCTGTTAATGAATATGATCAGACATTAATGGAAGACAATCGAACGGTAAGCAAAAATTTTTAGCTTTTTAAGTAGCTAAACTCCCAGAATCGACTGCAAGAATCGATGGATCTTTTCGAGACGGTGTGCAATAGTCGATGGTTCAAACGGGTTTGTATAGAGTTTATTACGTAATTTAAATTGTAAATATTATTACTATTATTATTATCTATTAATGCATATCTTAAAATTCAGGCGTCAATGATTCTGTTTCTCAACAAAAAGGATCTCTTCCAAGACAAGATCAAGCTCGTCCCCCTCACTGCCTATTTCCGCCGCTATAAAGGTAGGTTTTCGACGTTTATTCACACTAAAAAGTTTATTGTATAGATCAAGAGTTCGAAAAAACTTAAAGTATTTTTAAAGCTAGGTTCTTGCGCATTATCGGGGGTTGAAAATGCCGATTTTTTGGACGCAAAATCGGTATTTTAGTTTTCTAAAAATGTTCGTGCAGTTTTACGCTTAGAAATAGTAAAAACCATTCTTAAAACCTTCCATTATTTAAATTACATTTGATGCTTTAAAATTTGATCATTATTAAATTAAATTTAAATTTAGAAATGTGTTTAAATGCCCCCCCCCCGATAATGCAAAAGCACCAAAAAAGCTTTCTAAATTATCTGATTTGATTTTCACAGCTTTTCTAGCTTCTCGAGCTCACAAATCCGGGCCTTTACAATGTGTCAATTTGCAAAAATCTTGCAAAAACTCTATTTTGTGCGCTAGCTACCGTATGTCAATTTGTGACGCGTCAATTTGATCCCATCTCCCCTTCAGTTGTTTGTCTCGCGAATTAGCCGCCACGGTCCTCAGAATCCGCTAACGATCATCCCCCAAGGACACTTTTTAAATATTTTTTTTTGGAAAAAATCCTCCTAGAAATTTTGGCCTCAAAAATGGAGCCAAAAACCAAACCTTCAAACCTTTTAGGGCTAAACACGTACGAGGAGGGGATGGCCTTTTTCGAGAAGGAATTCATCGAAATGAACGCCTTCAAACGGCACCGACGGCTGTACGTTCATCAGACATGTGCCACTGATACCACACAGGTAATCTACCGCTTTGAAAACGAACAAAAAATAATAGAGTGAATTTAAACTACTTAAAAATTTGTCTTATACTCCTTATACTCCTATAACAAAATATAAACCATTTTAATAGCGATTTAGGCAAGTTTTATTCAATTTCGGTACTTTTGCATCAGCAGGGGGAGGGTATCGGAGAGGAAGCCGAATTTTCCTAAGAGTCCAGAAATGCCTGGTATTTAAATGCTGTTTTTAGCAGAATTTAACTATGATTGAAGTGGAAATCACCTAAAAATTCGAAATTTGTCGAAAATCCGTGTTTTTGTATTTCTTAATAAAATTTGTACATTTTACGTTTAGGTATAGTAAAGAACAGCTTAGAAACAATTCCTCTATTCAAATTAGAAAATTGAATCAGAAAAACGCCCCCCGATAATGCAAGCTCAAAAACGAAAAAAATACACCATTTTTCCAGGTGCAGTTCGTGATCGATTCAGTGATCGACACCGTCATCGGCAAAAATCTACGCGGCGCCGGGATTGAATGAAATTTTTGGCTTAAAAATATCAACCCCCCAAACCTCTACGGGTCCTCCAAACACAATATTTTTTTTTATTATTTTATTCTTATTTTTACAGTATTTTTATATTTAATTTGATTTTTATAGTCCAGTATTGTATCAAATAACTCTATCGATTGGCCTCTAATGTGTATATTTTTTCGAGTTTATGTACCCTTAAAAAATTTATCGGAATGTTTTTTTCAATCGGTAAATAAATTTTCTATCAGCGCCTAGATTGGTGGGGCCCTATTGAGCAGATATTCGAGCCAAGCCTGAAAAGGGAAAAATTCTCGATTCCACCTTGAAAATCAAAAACCCATCTTTTTTGAATTAAAGTATACCTTTTTCTCATTTGAAGAGGTAGCCGCCACTTGATCAGGTTTATTCTAAAACACTTTTTTATACATTTTATATTTTCCTAAATTTAAAGCTTTATACGTTTTTATTAAAAAATACAAAAAGTAAATTAGGCAAAATTGACCCTAGACCACGGCTTCGTTTTCGGATCCGCAAAAAGCTTGTCGCTTTTGTAAGAATACGGGACTTCACGACTCCTTTAATGAAAAATGAAAAACCTGTCTTTCCACGCCTTTCCGCCCAGCGATCGACTCGGCATTTTCTTTCCACGAGCATCCCCCATCGGCATACATCTCCTTTTTCCAAATTGGGACCGTTGCCTTGAATGCATCAATGGCAAAGCTCACCGCTTCCAACGCGGCTTGTCTGGAGTTTATATAACATCTCTGCCTAAAAAACGATACCTATGAGGGCTGGAAGCAGCAATAATAATTGATGTCTCTGTTACTGGCACTTCTCCCACACGATGCCACATCAACATCTTTTCCACCCTTGGGAATTTGGCTTTTGTCGTGGAGCAGAGACGCCTCATTTCCTGATTTGTGATGATTTAACGAGCAATAAATCCACTAACTGAATAAGCCATCTCATCATAGCACTCGTAGTCAAGACGAGTCACCGCACGATCGTGAAAGTTATCCCTAAAAAGCCTTTTCTTTCTCTTTTCTGCTACGCTGACTTGTTATACAATCTTGAAATTATCCACATCTTTTTTGCTAATTGTGGTTCTTTCGACTTATCGGGGGAAGGGGGGCGTCCTATGAGCAAAATCGATATATTTTTGTATTTTTTAACAGAATTTGTATAGTTAAAGTTTTTACGTTTAGCCAGGTAAGAAACATAAAGATATTGTCTCTATTAATATATACAAAGCATATTAGCTGATCATACCTCGTTGTTCCCACGAAAATCGAAACCGCACCACAACTCGGCGATACCAACTCTTCTTGAGCTTTTGCGATATCCAACGGACAATCGCTAATCCGTAAACTGTCGCTGAAGGCTTTCTCGAGCATCTATATTACAAAAAAAATACAAAAACTTGCTTATGCATCACCTCATCTATCAATGCATCGCTCGGCACATCACACTCCGAACTAACGTCAACAAAACTCAACTGCGACTCCGTGCGCGCCCTCTTCATCGCGTTCCGCAAATGAGCCACGTATTCTGGCCATACAATCTGATAAACAAGTTCAAGCGACAAATAAGTTCAAGATATGAGGATAAATTAAGAATTCGACCAATACATTTACCTGATCAAAATAGCCTTCCTCATCCGGTGGATCGTAATTTCTTTGGAGACGACGTCGTAGACATGTTTTCTAAAGCCTGATGGTATATTTTGCAGGGTACTGGTCTCCTAGTAGGGGGTGGGGACCTAGCGTTTAGAGCGAAGCTTTTCCACCCCCGCTAACAGCTCAAAACCATTTCCAGGTCCCTTACCTGATCCGTAATCAAAAACACGCCCTTATCCATCACTTCCATCATTTCTGGTATTTCGGTGATCATGTTCCCCTCAACGACGACGAAATCACATCGATCCCTGGCTTCTCTAACAACCTAACACATCTTCAGGGCAAATCCGGCCTACTTTGATCAACGATGGAATATCCACCGATTCCGGCACATCATAATTATAGTAGAATTTGCTTGGGTTGAGGTTGCTGATAACTTTTGCGACCTGAAATAATTAAGGCTATTTTTCTAGCCATGAGGTTTTTTAGTTAAGGCGTTTTAAATTTTGCGGCCTAGTTTAACCGGCTTAAAAAAACTGCGAAGTGAAAACAGCTAAATAAACGTTCGCCGACCTTTTCAGGTTGCATATAATAATCATCTTGACCGATCAGTTGCACCGATTTCCCCTCGCCACTCAGCTGAAAAAGCCCAGTTATTGACATTTCCAACACCCACAGATTGTTCGATCCTTTTTGCCACCGTCGACTTTCCAGAGTTTGTGCAGCCGCAGATGACCAACACGAATCCACGACTTCCGGCAGCCATATCGCCTTGTTGAAGCAGCGGACAGACCAAAGTTCGCCAAAGGCAGCCTCTTATCACGCGTAACGAGATGACGAACCGGGTCGCGTCTATTGATTCGCTACCCATCCGCCAACATCATAGAAAAATATGCCAAGAAAATAGCAAAGAAAGTATTTATAAAAAATCTTCGAAATAAACAATAAACAGCACAGAAAAATTCACAAGGTATCAAAATATAGCTCGAAAAACACGATAAAAATTCATAAATCCGGAGATTCACCGCAGTCATCGGAAAAGTCGTTGTCTAAAAAGAACAAAGTAAACAGGGCGATCCTAGACAACAAACCTTCTCTAATTTCCATAGAATTCTTTACCACATGGTCCCGTTGGACTAAAGCCTGCTCATCTTCTGAGAACTCATTGTAATTATCGACAAGGTATCTTTCTGAAAAAAAGTATAAATCATCCACGTTCCCCATTAATTTTTTTTTTTTTTTTTTTTTTTTTTTTTTTTTTTTTTTTTTTTTTTTTTTTTTTTTTTTTTTTTTTTTTTTTTTTTTTTTTTCAGTGGTGAAAACAAAGATAGCGACAAATTAAAAATGTTACTCACTTTTGTTAAAAATGGAGACATCGCGTTCCGGCTTTATCGTCTTGTCACAAATTGAAGTGCAGTCATCCGAAAACTCGTCTTCTAAAAATTAAAATAGACACAGTACCGAGAAAAAAACCTTGTATAATTTGCCTAGAAGGTCGATCCTCATCTGAGAAACCATCATTAAAGTGTTCCGCAGGATCGCTTTCTGAAAACATAGTAGTTTTTGGTTGATCGTATACGAAAATACGGTTCAAAAGCTCACTTCTTTTTTAAAGGAGAGATATGGCGTCCCGCAGGTAACGTTTTGTCGCAAGTTGAAGTACTAGGTGACCCATCCGAAAAATCTTCATCTGAAAAAGAATGTTAAATATGAGGCTGACAAACAAACCATGTAGTGTCCTTTTTCCGATAGAATTATTGATCGCATCTGATGTGCGTATTAAAATGCCTTCCGCTTCTGATATATTAACTGGATCGGCATCAATATGACGTCCTAGAAAAGACGAAAAAAACCTATGTAAGACAATGTACTGTACTATTTGGACAAATACATCATAAGCTAAACCGTACTTGTATTGAAAGAGCAGACATAGCTCTCGGGTGGCAATGTCACGTCACAAATCGAAGGACCCGGCACCTCTTCTTCACTCGACGAAAACTCGTCTGTAAAAATATTTATATTTTCGAAAGATTGAAACCGACCGTATAAGGGTTCATTAGAGGAAGCCAGAATCTGATTAGATCGGGTCGAAGTCGATGGCTCATCCTCTACATTCGCAGGACAGGCCGCTAAAATAAGGATGTCGTCTAAAAATATCTAAATTAACCTTCTGTCGTCGTAGATTGAGAAAATTCATCGTCACAGCCGTCCGAAAACTCGTCTTCTAACCGAGGCTGATCAGAAATTTGAACGGCAAACCTTGTTTCCCCGGGCGGGGTAATGCTGCTGTACTTGTCATTCTGTTTTCCTTGATCACGGGAGAATCGGATTCACAGGAAAAAGCGTCTTAAAGAACAATGGCTAATAATAAAAGCAGCTCACCGTCCTCTTGTTCACAAGATGTCTGCGTGGCTGGCAGAAATTCGAGGGCGTCATCTGAGAAATATGCATCTAAAGAAAAATATAATAAACTTTTCTAAGGAAAAGATACCGCTAAAGCATTGTGAAGACAGCTGCTGGCTTTCTAGAATCTTTTGGGAAAGCCCTGGTGCATCCCACTCTGGTGAGTTGTAGGACAATTCTGATGATTTCCTCAGATCTACAAAAAATATATAAGTACAAATAAAAAAGGTTTACCATTCGTCCGCTGGGAACAGATCGCCAGGGTTTCTCTAGCTTGGCTTCGTTCCTCGTAACTTGTGTCGATGTAATGTGAGAATTCAGAAGCTAAAACAAACATCAAGAATATAACAGTAAAAACCGTCAGAGTTTTGCGAGGGTCTCGGTGATTTTCTTTCGCATCGTGATGGGCCTGACATGGGCTCTTGGCTGGGTGATGGCTGATCGGCATCCTCACATTCTTCGTCAGAATCTATTAAACAGATGATTAGACCAGTGCAGCCATAACTTGCCGCTTTTCCTTTTTCTTAGTAGCCGACGATAAGTCGCGCCGGTCGTTGCCCATAAATCAAATAATATCGCGGGGCTTTGTTGAAGATCTTCAACTTCCGAAGTGTCATTGTCTTGAAGGGCTTCGGCAATCAACTAAAAAATAGCTGTGGTGTCGCGTGAAATGATTTACGTTTCGGTTGTTAGGTACTAGCCGCAAAATCTTCTCTATGGAGTTGACAATGAATCGCTTTGCTCGTTCTCTTCTCACGTCTTCATCATCATCCATGCTACCCTGAAATAAATCATTGATGCTAGGCCGAAAAAATGAAACAAAAAGAAGTGGAAAATGAGAACAGGCAAAAAGGCATAAATTTGTTCGTAACCGCGGATCCGGCGAGTTTCTATATTTACGTCAACAGTAACCGTCCGGCACCAAAATAATCCCTAAAAAAGCCTAATAAAAATCATTAAATCGTGGATTTTAGAGATTCACAAGACCGAAAGGGGATCACCATCATAAAACCCAATCAACTATAATAAAAAGGTAGGGGTGTCTGTCCGTCTGTCTGTCATGTCCCGGATTCAACTCGAAGGGGAAAGGAGCTAGAGCTTAGCTCTCTTCGGATTCGGATAGAACGTGGTCAGAAACCCCCAAACTGATAAAAAATTATGAAAAAGTTTTAATGTACATTATTAAAATTAACTTTGAAAGTTTTTTCCTTAGTAAAAGGGGTGGGGGACGGAGGTGGGGCGATTTTGGACATAGTGAGCCAGGTGGCGCGCGTTTCGTGGATGAAAATTTTCACGGGCGATTTCATTTCTTTTTTTCTCTCATTCCATCCGGTCGGTCGTTCTTTTTGTTTCAAAGTGGATTTCAGCTACGGGGAGATATCTAAAGCCATCAGGAAGGTATCGAAGTAGTTTTTGAAGGGGATTTCGGCTATGGGGGGGGCTATCTGGAGCCGTTAGCGTGGGTATTGTTGGAGGCAGGAAAGGATGTGGTGGAGTAGGACATGTAGGGTAGCCCGAAGACCAGATGGTTGCAGTCGCGAAGCGACTGTAACCATCTGGTCTCTCAAAGATTCCTAACCTGATGCTAAAAATATTTGTCTGCCATTGATTTCGAATGCTTGCGTAAATTTGAATTTTGCATTCGCTTGCCTAGCCCGTTGATAAGCCTTCGCACTGTCGAGAAAATACAGTCTCGCGTCGATGTTATCAGAAGCTACTACAGACCCGGAAGGTAAGTGGCTTGAAAAACTCTGTAATCGAAACAGAGGCTGAAGCGGATGGCACGCCGGCCACTAGTCCGACGCAAGAATGCAGTTCAATCGAGGATCTGTTTGAGGGATCGGTGTTTTCGGCACCGGCAGCGGATGCGGTAGCTCGGTTTCGTCTGAAGGGAAAATAATGAATTTGGTCCAGGTTCGCCGGCTGATCGTCATCGATGGATGTAACGTTGCGCGGTCGAGCTGTGGCCCGAGCCGAGAGTAATGTCTTGCGAAAATAAAGTCACGGTTTTTGTTTGGCTAAACCCCCCCCATGGGCCTGCAGGCGGGGTCCCAAAATTTTCCACCTAAAATTGTCTTCCGCCATTCATCGGCTCGCAATTCATTCGCACTATACAGAACAACGCGAACATTTTTTTATACTACACAGCCCCTGTAGCACAGATTCTAGATAAATTAAACTAGAATCCAATGTGGTGTTTTAGCAATGTGAATTGCGGTGGGCTGATGACGGTGATCCGCTGGTTTCTGGTGCGAAACTTTGAGGTCGAAATTTGGCATTCTTTTTCTTTAAAACGGCACGCGAATACACCGGCCATTTTTTTACAAGAACAACCCCTTAGGTGGTCGCTTTTTTGCCGGTCATCTACAACAACAACTACAACACAAATGCCGTCAGCGTGCAGGTTCTGCCGGTAGCAAATCCATCCTTATGTCACAATCAAACATCTAGAAACTGGAAGAGCTCGGTGTGGTTACTTTCACGCCGGCTCGCACGGCTCGCGGGGAGCGGCGCGCTTTCATCAACTACGACGATTTGTCCGTGTTCCATCACCATACTTATGTACAATTTTAGATACGTGGCCAATCTTGCGGCTCGTCATGGAGGCACTGTGCTTAGCGGAGATCGCTTCAAGGATATTTTGGCACAGCAGCAATATAGGTATTTATTATTTCGAAAATCACAATTGAAACATGCAATATAATCACCTGAGATCATAGATTATGGCCGTTATCTTTGCGCGAATTCCTTGGCAGCAAGCGAGTAGAAAAGACGAGTTATATAGTCTGGCCATTTTGGATTGCCACCTTCAACAAATGGATCAAAAATGAAGGGTTAGGACTAACCTGACAACCTGCTTGGCCTCCTTGTGGTATCCCTGCTGCGCGAGAGATAAAGCTATGTACAGATGGCACCTATGAAAGAGGTTGTATCGTGAAGTAATTCCAAACCGGGAAAGAAGGACTGGATCGCCGTATTCAGTGGCTAGTCGGATCTGATGATTGGAGATTTTCATCGCCACGCGTGCCTAGACTTTCCTTCAAGTAACAATTCGATAACTCACGAATCTTTCGTCATAATCTCCCATTGCTGAATAAGCACCACCTAACGACGACAAGATCCATAGCAATCGTTCCACCTCGAGGCGCTTTAGAAACAGATGTCGGAGCCTGGTTTCCCTAAACGTCTAATTAGCCGCTTAGAGTATACATACTTACCAATCGTAGTGGATACGTACAAGAGGCCAGTCATCAAACTTCAAAACTATCCGCTAAAAGAATCGTAAATTGCGCCTTAAAACAAATTACCTTCTGTTCGAATTTACTAGCGAGGCGTGGGTTTATTAAAGAGTGGATCAGTGGCTGCACATGCTCACTGGGACAACAGATTATGCTGCTAGTACTGGGCTGCTCATCTGTATCTAATCGGCTTTTAGTGGCAAAATAAAGTTACCTCTGGTCGTTTCTGCGAAGTCCAAGTGTAACTCGATAAATGGCATCAAACCTGACTCAAAAATGGAAAATGAAGTGGACAACATCAAAAATACACGAATGGACCTTTGAGCCTTCAGCAATTACCACCACTTAATGTCAAACTATTTTATTCCTACAGCTAAATTGTCAACAAAAAAATCAACATAGGAACAAAACTATTTTGGGAGTAGCCGTAATATTTTGAGCATGGAGCTGAAGTGGGTGGGAAGGGAAGAGCTGATGATCAAAGGTCTCGAGCTGCCGGGTAGTTTAATCGACATCTGAATACGGTATTTAACACAGAAGGAATTCGACAAACCTCTTTATGATGGAGCAGAAATGGCAAACGCCTCGACTGGCTTTGGGACAGCCCCAACTGTTCTAGCGTAGCATCGGCTAGCCGGGGTGGCCGTGGTGGGGAGTCTGTGTATTTGTCTTCGCCGATAATTGGACATTTCACCAGCGAGAGATGCGCCCGCACTTGGTGAGGCACTTCTAAAAGAATGTAAAAATACATCAGTAATATCTCACCTCCTTTCACCAATGCCCCCACGTAGGAACAATAACGATGGCTGCTGATCTCACGGGCCCTCGTCTCCACATAATGTATTTCATGCCGTTTGGGCGTATCTTCTCGCAACGGTTTCATCTTGAACTGTCCATCACGCACCGTTTTGTAGAGTGGGATCTTGATCAGCTGCTTGGGTTTTGCCAGCGTGCCCCGCACGATTGCCCTAAAACAAATACAAATTAGGCAAAAAAAGAAAATGTTTACCTGTATTCAGACATCACTAGACTCTCGGAAGATTTTTGGTTTAGCAGATGTTTCAGCTTTTCATTCCTGAAAAAAATTGCCGAATGAATTAAATCCTTACTTTACAAAAAGCAGGATACCACTGACATTGCGATCGAGCGGCTTGGCCAAATGAAGCTTTGCAGTGGCTGGGGCTACAACTGCTTTTAACTGAAAGAAAATAAATAATTTATTGATTTGAACCGTACCGCTGGCATCAGTCTGTCGATTTGGGGAAGATCCGATGATCCTCCGCCATACGATAGGCCATAGGGTTTGCAGAGGGCCAATAGGTCCTCTGAATTAGAACAACTTTAAAGAATAATAGAACCATACCATCGTTGTAGAGGACTTGGGATGCAAGATAGTCAACCAATTCCTCCTTTGAAAGATGCTTGATCGGCAGCAAAGATGAATTGATTTGTTGTAAAATTGTCGGCGCCGATATGGTAAACTCCTTTTCATCTATTTCAATCGGTTCCCTAGGTATGGATGTGGCTTGCGACCGGAAAAACTAACTCGTAGTCTTCAGCGAAACTGGCGTCACTTCTCTTCTGAATTGATTCGTCATCAGCAAACCATTTCCCTTGGTCACGTCGCTTTGGAGACTGCAAGCATTCCGGTTCAGACGCCTCTCTGGGGTCGATCTTCCGGAAATATTGTTGATCGATGAAATCATCCTCGGTTTCTCGCGTCCAATCATGGCTCACAGCCTAAGAGTACCTTTCAAAAAGCAAACAAGTTCAATACCGGTTCAGCAACTCTAGACGAGCTGGGGATGAACTGCTTCTCGATAAATCCAGCTTCTTCTTGTGCAGGTTCTGGAGCAGTATTGGCTGCTGCCCTTTGAGTGCTGCTATGTGTCTGGACATGTATGCCGAAGAAATCGTCTGACATCCTAAAGCAAATTATTATCACTGCTTATCGCATTTATCATTTGAAAAAGTTGAAAATCACATCGTATTTTTACAAAAAAACATTGCGGACAACCGGTGACACCAGGAAATTCGGCGTAATTTGTACTCCTTCGTCGTTTCAAGAAAATATTCTCAACTTTCTGAACTTCTAAAGTTTTTTGCAGTGAACTACATAATGTGCTGCGTTATCGACGTCTTGATGTCCGCTTTCATCCCTTGAAGCAGCCCTACGCACAAGTAAGCCAGCTTTGTAACCCTCAACTCCCGCCTAGATTGGCCCTGACCGTTTCCTGGACCGCGCCCCGGAGCTGTACATCCGCCCGCACGAATACGACGTTGATGGCATCGCCGAGCGTCTCTGGGCCAAAACTGATGACCCTGACTATGAAAAAGTACGTATTTGATAGACTGATTTTGAGAGTTGCACCTAGCCCAGAGGAATGGCCTAAAGCTTTGCAGAACCTGGCGTTGCTATAGCTAAATTATTTTTTTCTAGATCGCCCTGCGGCGCCATTCTTGGTCGGCAGCCAATCGTGATCGAATCGTGGCCTCAATCGACCTGCTTATGGACGAGTTATGCGAGCGAGCTGGCGTCCGCCCGATGGATCTCCCTCCGCCGGTGACCGATTGGCTGCTTTTGGTCCGTCGATTTCCACAAGCCAATTACCGAATTTCTTAGGAAGGATATGGGCCCTCTCAGCCAGGCGCAAAGTCTCCAGCCATCACGCTGTCCAGCGGTTCTTCCAATTATTCGTGGGAAATTTATTCGCAAGCCAAACCTACTCTAGGGTGGTCTCCTGGAGCGGTGCAACGAATAAAGACGACCCGAAAGAAGAGAACTGGGTGGACAATGATGGCTTTTCAAAAATTGTGAGTCGCAGAAGCATTTCAGCGACAGCTTTAGACGCCTGGGCTCTGGATTGCGCCGGCTCTACGCTCGCAACCGCCGAATGAATCTTTTCCGGGTGCTGGAGACTTTGAGGCTGCCCCGATTGAGACGGTGATTTTGTTTTTCTGATTTTCAAGGCAACCTTTAGGTCGAAGATACGGTGCAGTCGATTCCCCCATCTTGGAAAGAAGTTGATCTGCTGTCGCTTGATGTTTGTCTATCCGATTTTTTCCAAAAAATATGTTTAGGTCGGGGCGCTGAACTATTGCTTGAACAACCCGGACCACCTGCGTGCCGATGCGATAGCCAAGGATCCCGAGCAGGAGAAGCAGTACGAATTGAAAAAGTTCCGCAAAAAAAGATGTTTAGAGAGATGGAGGATGGCATTTGCGCCCAGCTGATTACCGCATTCCCATTCGAACTTGTGACAAAAGTATTTAATCCATTAAAATCAATTGTGGTTTTAGGTCCTTCGAGAAAATGTTTCGCGAAACGTGGAGGTGCTGGCGAATTTGTGCGCCGAGCTCATCTGAAGCCTCGTCGAGCCGTGGATTGCGCCTTACTTATCGTTAAACGCATTGTGAACTGCTGTGTAACTCTTAATTCCGTTGGGATCTGCCGAATTCGGGAAATGAATTTACGTGATGAATAAATTTGTGTTTCGTTTATCGCTTGGAAACGGCACGGTGTTTCGCATGACTCGTCGTCGCCGGCCGGCCTTGTGATGGGATTCTGGAAAAAGATCCTCGATCGGAAGGCCGCAGTCAAGCCTGCCGAGCAGAAGAAGGTCTCCCCAGACGGTAATCTTTGTTTTCTGTGGCTTTGAGGTATTTTTAGGCTTTCGAGTTGATAGGCAATTCCGTCCCTGCTATCGCGTGGCTGTAGCAGAGAGGACGAGTTCATGGGGTATCTGGAAACGTGTTAGATCAAATGAAATGCTCTAGTCGGTCTATGGCGGATCACGAGGATGATCTCCACTTTTCTCGTCATGCTCATCCTGCTGATTTTCTGCCTTGAAGCCCTCGTCTTTGGAACGGGGCACTTCAAATTCAGTATCATCAAGGATGAATACAAAGTAGGAATTTGTTGGGCGCTATTTTCTGCCACTTTCTGATCAATCGACCGATTGATAATTTAGTTTGTGGGCATGAATTACTGGCACTTTCATCGAGAATACCCTCACACCGATCCGCACAATGTCTACGTAAAAATATTTAGGCGGTATGGTTGTCATTTCTTGAATTTCAAAAGAATATATTTAGCCATCGAAGGTTGGCGGTGGTCACTTCAGTGGCAAATCGAAAGGTGGCCTCCCAGCTCAACATGTCGGCAGATATTTTTGTAATTACGGGTCTATTTATAGAGATTCGGAAGCTGACTGGCCAAATTGCACGATCGTTTTTCGTGGAAACTGGACTACGGTAAGTGGCAGTTGGTCTTAATTTTATTTTTAGACGTTGAAAAGCGCTAGTCTGCTCAATCAGCATCCCGACGATAAGCGGCGTTTCATCGAGCGTGTGCTGATTGTTGGGGTGGGGAATTGGGTGCTTGTGCATTATCGCGGGGAAGGGGGCTTTTCCGTAGGGTGGAATTTAATATAAATAGCGGAAGTGTTTCTCGAGTGTTTTTTCTGTACGTAAAAACCTTACAGATTTTCGTAAAAAAAGGCAAGAATATCGGGTTTTCGACCAGAATTTTTTTAAAATGTTCTAAGTTTTTTTTTCACTTGAAATATACTTAATGGTTACTAAAAGTCATTTATGGACTTAAATATCAGCAAAAATAATCTTCCTCCCCATCACCCCCCATAATGCAAAAGAACCCGGCACTGACGCGCTATCCCTTTTAGGCCTACGACGAGAAGCAAATCGAAGAGATGACCTGCCCGCCTTCCGTCCTGATCGTCGACTACGAGCATGGTCTAATGCAAATGAATGATCTCTGTTCGTTCAATAAGAATAATATAAAAAAACATAATCATCTTTTCAGTGACGGTGGCGCCAGTTTCGGCTAAGACAGACGGCGAACGCGTGAATGATACCGGCATTTTTATGTAGCCATTTTTCGATGACCTACTTTATAATTTTTAGTGGCGATGACTATGGTTTGGATAAAGCGGCTGACGACCCCACCATCGACATCTCCCAACCAAATAGTAACTATTCCTCAATGTAAAAAAATTACTCTTTTTAGCACATTGGGCGCCGTGGGCTGCAGCTTATCATCTGGCCGAGAAGGTTCGCACGATTTAAAATAGCTGGATGCCTAATTTCATAGTTTATGAGGCTTTTCTGATCAGCAGTTTTAATTTAAATAGGGGATGCGTTTCTAAACGTGTTTTTATTTTTCCTAAACCTAAAACTTTTCAAATTTTTATTAGAGAACGCAAAAAAAAAGATCACAAATCCGCGGAAAATCTCAAATTTTAAAAAAATTTCTAAGTTTTTAAATAGTTTTTCAACTCGAAATATAGTTAAATTTTACTAAAAATAAGCTTAAAATACGTACCATTACGTAACTAGACATTTTTGGGCTTATAGGGAAACCCCTCCCCCGCTAATGAAAAAGAACCAATTTCTGTTTTCAGCTGCAGGCTGACGGGCAGCCAATGGTGAAGACTGATGATGCTCCCTACTGCCAGAACAGTGAACTCGAGAATTGAATTTGGCTCTTCTTCCCCTCGCTATTTTGAGAAGCCTACAATATACAAGTGTGAAGGATTAAGATAAATATTTATACCGTTCGCTGGAGAGTACACACACAAAAAGCCTGAAAAATGATAGTAGCACAAGAAAGGAGAGCCCGTTTCGCGTCGTGACGATAAGTCGCATTTTTGGCATTGGGGAGAGATTCGGGGGAGAGTAAGGCACATTCGGAGGGATTTAGAAATTGACAATGAAGATAGGTTTTACTAAAAATTAGTATTGGCCTTAGAATTAGACAAATTCAGGCTCAACCCTTTCCTCCGTCAGTACACTTTGTTGATTCAGATTTTGGTAGCCGAATTGGAAGGGTAGAGGGGTGGGAAGTCGTGACCGGAAACGGCTGAAAATCGGCAAAATAGTTTCTTTGAGATCGATATTGATTCAATGCCGTTGTTTTAAACGGACCTGTATACAAAAAGCCCAGCTCCACCGATGGCCAGCAAGATCAGGAAGTGCGGCCAGAAGGAGGATGAGCTTTCGCAGAGATCTGCCTTCGCATCAAAGATATGCTGACCCCGATAGTTTGACGGCAGCTCGCAAACGGTTTGACCCTGAAAATTTGGCCTGAATGTTTTAGGGCCGCCTGGTGCTTTGCATTAACGGGGGGCGTGAACTTTTCCTATCGGTCCAAAAATGCCTAGTAACGGAATGCAATGGTTTGAATGGCGTTTCTAGTAAAATTAACTATATTTCAAGTGCGAAACTATCTAAAAAAGATAGCATTTGAAAAAAAACTGGAATTTTGTTCTAAAAATCGGTATATTGCGTGTTTTTTTGGTAAAGTTTTGTAAAGCCTACCTACCTCTAGGCGTACCAAAAACCGTTAATAAACACTTCACTATTTGATAACAGTCTTCTCGTGATAACCTACCTGATTCAAGAAATTATTCGGGTCCTCGCGTGCAATTTTCAAGAATGGCATCAGTGCGCAGTCACACACTAATGGATTCTTCGAGACATCCACCGCATTCAGCGACGGCAACATATCGTAAAGGGTCGCCGGGACGGTCTCCTGAAATTCAAAAATTAAATTTCAAACCTTTCAAGGAACTCACCAATTTGTTGCCTCGGAGCACGAGCTGCCGCAATCCCTGCAAACATTTTGGGGCCACCTCAAATTTCTTGAGATTGTTCCCATCCAATATCAAGCGGACGAGGCTGGGTACCTGGAATTTGGAAAAATCGTTTCCTCGAATCGTTCGATAAACGGTTCTTTCGCATTCTCGGGGGGGGGGGGGTGACTTTTTTCTAAAATTTCAGAGTCTGGTAAGTACAGGGTGTCCCAAAAAAAAAGACCCCCCCAAAAATTTGAGCCAGAGGGCACCTACGGAGCTGAAAATTTGCACAGAGGTATCGAAGCCAATTTTCTATGAACAAGGAAAGTTTCAGCCCGATCGGCCAGCGCGTTTTAAAGTTATAGCGAAAATACTTTTCATTTTTAATTTAATATGGGGATCTTCGAAATTTGCATCAAAGATATGCGTTATTCTTGCATTTACGAGCCGATTTTACATAAATTTCGCCGAAAAGTGCCATTTTCTTGATGGAGCTTTTGGAAAACGATTGCTCATGTAGCGAGAAAATGATCAGCAAGAACGATGAATACCAGACCTCGTGGCGGAAGCTATCGTTGGACGCTTGAGCTTGGCTTAAGCTTCAGCGTACGCGCCAACATAAGCCCAAATCTAAACTTCAACACTGTTTTCGAGCTCGTCGAACTCTGTTTTCGGGCCGACGAAGCTCAAATTGCCAAAATGTACAATAACACTTGATTTGGATCGATAAAAGAGTTGTTTTAACACTCTTTTTATTCTGCATACACAATCGTTTTCCAAAAGCTCCATCAAGAAAATGGCACTTTTCGGCGAAATTTATGCCAAATCGGCTCGTAAATACAAGAATAACGCATATCTTTGATGCAAATTTCGAAGATCCCCATATTAAATTAAAAATGAAAAGTATTTTCGCTATAACTTTAAAACGCGCTGGCCGATCGGGCTGAAACTTTCCTTGTTCATAGAAAATTGGCTTCGCTACCTCTGTGCAAATTTTCAGCTCCGTAGGTGCTCTCTGGCTCAAATTTTTGGGGGGGTCTTTTTTTTTGGGACACCCTGTATATTAAGTATCAATAATCTTTTTAGAAAAACTCAACTATATTTATACACGGACAACTCTAACAACCAAATAAAATTTTTAAGTTTTAATTTTGGCCGAAAATCCGGGATTTTATTCGAAAAATCTAATTTTTTAGGCCTTGAGTAAAACTACCCCGGTTTTTAGCAAAACTTAACTATAGTTTGGGTCAGAAGCTATCTAAAAACCTTACAAACCTTGAAATTCGAAATTTTGTCGAAAATGAGAAAAAGGAAAACGAAATTTATTGTTTTAGAGTTTTTTAATAAAATTTGTCCAGTTTTTACGTTTAGGAATAGCAAAAAAACGGGTTGGAAACACTACCTCTTTATTAAAAAAGTTGGATCCTACGGAAACTCCTAACTAAACTAAAAACTATCTAAAAAAACCTAGAAAATCTCGAAATTTTGCGCGTAATCCTATTTTTTTGTATATTTTTCAATCTATTAAAAGCACCCGTCACCCACTTTGCAGAACGTGTTCGGGTTGATGATCTCGAGACCATTGTTGCTGAGGTCGATCTCCTGCAATTCATTCCATCCACGGCGTGGGTGGTCGAAAAACAGCGCCAAAAGGTCGGCCTTCGCGGCGGCAGAGCTGAAATGAAAGGGGCAGGGATGAATAGATCAACGATACACTTACATATCTCCAAAAGCCGCCTTCAAATGGATTCCGCGTAGGTTGGCCAATTTTGCGAATGGCTGTGTGCCCACGGATTTGATGTCGTTGTTGTCCAGGTAGAGCCATTCAACATTGCGGACGCCTCAAAAAATACAAAAGCTCCAAGAGAAGGTGAAAATGATACCGTTAAAGGTGTTTTTGCCGATCTTGGTGATTTTGTTGTCCGTTAGATTGACGATAGTTACGGAGTTGTGATCCTGGAAATAAGGATGAGGGAAAAGCGGGGGAAAAGCTAATTTTTAGTTTTCGGCCTATACCAATCCGTTAATAATATATAATATATTTTTTATACTTTTTTGGTAGTTTTTGAAGTCAAAGAAGTTATAGAAATAATTAAAAACTTTGAAAAGTTGAAAATGTTGACCTTTTTGGTCATTTTTCATACATTCTTGCCCAAAAATCAAAATTTTCGCAATTTTCATAGTTAGATGCGCTTTTTTATCTAAAACTGCGTAGAATGCTATAAAAATATTCGTTACGGGATTCCTGGGGGAAAAATTTGGTCCCCCCCGCTAACAGTACCGTACATTACCAAAACTTCGCGATTATGAAATTTAGACATATTGAATTTCGACCGTATTAAAGAGGCTAAAGGTGTTAACAAGCCAAGAGTCTCTACCCCTGAAGGTAAGAACTCACATCTTGATCATCAAACAACGACTCCGAGATATCCCCAAATCGATTGCCGACAATTTCGATGGTGTCCAGGTGGGGGAATCCGCGGCTGTGGATCTAAATTATTAGTTTAAAAGACTATAAACCAAACTTTACATCCTCAAAGACATCCTTTCCAAGCCCCCGATTACGGCAAGTCACCGTTGTTTGGTTGCATCTAAGATTGAGACATTTTCAGGACTCAAAAATGTCCTACCTGCATCCATAGGGGCAATCGGCTTCTTCTTGGGTGGGGAGGCGCTTCGAGGAGCCGCGTTTTAGCCGCTAAAAATCGGGTTAGAGGGGGCGGTGCTTTGGCATTATCGGGGGGAGGGGCTTTTTTCGTCCGGATCAATTGTTTCTAATATGTCTAAATAGAGCAAGAGCTTTAAACAGTTGTTTATTATTCCTAAACGTCAAAACATTACAGTTTTTACTCAAAAAATACAAAAAATATTTTTTTCCTGCGCCAAAATATTCAAAAAGGGAAATAATAGGAAAATGGCAACTAGAAAAATTATCCTTGAAATAAATCCTTGAGGCTGGCAGTTATCTTTATCTTTTGCAGGGCTTCGGAAACCAGAGAAAAATAGAAAAATTACAACTAGAAAAATCACAAAAGTACGATCTAGGGGTGGATTCTGCAAATCCTTAGCCTAACTTTTCTACCCCATAAAAATCCTGTAAAAATAGTATAATAGCTCGAGTAACGGTTCCTAAAACCGACTGAAAATAGCACAAAAATCACCTGTCCCTGGGCGACGGCCACAACAACTCCAAGGAGGGCAATGGCCAGCGCGTGTCTGGTGAGCATTGGCGAATATTTGTGGTTGGAAGATTGAAGGAAAGGCTCTCGCTCTTTCTTTCTCTCTTTTCGAGACCCGCCGATCGGGAAAAGGGGTCTCCGATCGGGGGTGAGGAGAGTTCCGAGAGCATACGAAGGACGAACACACGCCCTCCCCCATCCAAAGCCGTAATATCGTGCCTTGCCCCCTCCGCGATCGGCGCTCACACTCGGCTGGTTGCAATGGGGAGGGGCTGTACGCTCTGTCTCTCTCTCTCTCTCTCTCTCTCTCTCTCTCTCTCTCTTCTCTCCGCTTCTCTATAGTTGACAACCTGACACACACATGAAAGCATCTAGCTCATTTTTACCCGCTGCCCCGTCAAAATGGTGACGCCTTGATGGGGTGGTAAGTACGTGTGCGGTCCCTTTAAAAGTACGAGTTACGCGTGATTATAGCCATATTGCCACATATATAAAGTATTTTAACCCTAAAATAACTCATCTGACTTATAAGGCAACCTCTGATACCGTATATTGATTATTACGATATTTTAATGCATAGTTTCGGTGCTTTTGCGCTATCGGGGGGGGACCGGTTTCTTTTTATGAGACGAAAAATAATAGCAATTACCTTAATATCGCGTTTCGTAAAATTTAGCTTAATTTGAAGTGGATCAACTATTTAAAAACTTTTAAAAAGTTTTTAATTCGAAATTTTTGCTCGGAAGTTGACCATTTTTTCAAAAATCTACACTTTTTTTATTTTTTATAACAATTTGCGAAGTTTTTGCTTTTAGGAGTAGCAAAAAAATAGCTTGAAAGCACTTCCCATATTTATATTTGAAAATTAATAAAGCAATTTTGATGCTAAAGAAGAGTTCTCCCCCCCACCCCGCCATAATGCGCAAGATCTGTCGACGCTACTGAATTTTATTTTAATTTATTTGGTTTCCAATTCTATTTGCGAGTGCGAGAGTCTTTTAGAGATCACCTAGTAAAAAAAGCAACGTTGAGCAGCCATTTTCCGTAGATTCCCATTTCCCCTCGTTTTTCATCGAGAAAACTCGATATTCTCAGCCCCTTCTGTGAGGAAAAGCATTACCTAATCCCCCAATTTGAAGCGATGCCCCTCCCCACCCTGATTAGTGGTGGGTGACAATGGGAGTGCGTAAAGGACGTGGTGTGGGATTGAACGGATTACTCGCCGGGCAGGACGACGACTTTTCAGGGATAGTCTCACGATTATTTACGGCCAGGTTCAGACTTTTTATCTTTAATTGTAAATCTGATGACATAACGAATCGATTAGACGTTGCTCACACTGGGCTCATCATTGGTGGGGTTGTCACTGGGGGATGGCTGGAACGGATGCTAATATTTGGTGCTTTTCCAATGTCGGGGACCGAATTTTTTATAAGTTACCAGCGCCCAAAACCCGCTTCGCGGGCCTTGGGCGCTGGAATCGCCTGCATGAGAAATTTGACTTTCCGATAGCTTGGGTCCTTCGGACCCCTCCCTTCCTCCGACCACAGCCGCGCGTGCAACTTGCAAGAATGAGGAAATTTGTATTTTTTTGGAATTATGCAAAGTAGCCCTCCCTGGCGCCGGACACACACACACAAAGATACGCGACCAAATTATATAAGGCCAGCGCCCAAAACCCGCTTCGCGGGCCTTGGGCGCTGGACTGCGGTTTTTGCATGATAAATTTGACTTTCCGATCACTCGGGTCCTTCGGACCCCTCCCCTCTGCCGACCACACGGGCGAGTGCAACTGGCATGAATGAGGAAATTTGTATTTTTTCACATTATGCAAATTAGCCCTCCAGGACCCCCAAAAATCAATAAAACCGGCTTTAACTTTGTAAACTTGTATTTTATCGGGATTCTGAAAACGCCATCGGAAAGAGGAGGGTCGATTCCCCCGGATGACGGAGAATTAGGGCATCTTGGACACGGGAAGGCCCTCAAATCGGGCCTCGAAACTGACCTCCGCACACACACACACACACACACAAAGATACGCGACCAAATTATATAAGGTAGGATATGACAATTTCAGTTGAAATTCTGGTCCAAAAATAGATATTTTTTGTATTTTTTTAATGCAACATTGTAAAGCTTTTACTTTTAGGAATAGTAAAAAACAGATTAGAATTACGTCCTCGATTTGTTTATTAGAAAAGTCGATACCCCAATGCGAATGAGCCATCTTCCCTCATATAATTTTGGCGTGTCTGTAGGTGTGTGTTTGTGTGCAGCTGTCACTTTCGAGACTCGATTTGAGGGCATTCCCGTGCAGAAAATGCCCTAATTCTCCGTACTCGGGAGAATCGACCCTTCTGTTCCGATGGTGTTTTCAGAATTTTGATAAAAACAAGTTTACAAAGTTAAAGCCCGTTTTATTCATTTTTGTGGGTAATTTGCATAATGCGAAAAAATAGAAATGTCCTCATTCTTGCAAGTTGCACTCGCGGGTTTGGTCGGGACACGGGAGGGGTCCGAAGGACCCGAGCTATCGGAATGTCAAATTTATCATGCAAACGACACATTCCAGCGCCCAAGGCCCGCGAAGCGGGTTTTGGGCGCTGTTTATTTACATAAAAGGCTACTAAATTTGAAATGGCTTACTTCTCGATAAGGGCTTTGAAGTGATGGTAGATGCTGTGGTTTTGGAGCTTGGGGTTCGGCCCATCGCGCTGCGGTCGTATGTGGACTTGAATCGGCGACTCGATTGCGCATCGGCGACGTGGAAGGCTGAAATTTTAATTTACCATTTTCAATTCCGAGTATCCATATTTCCAGAACAAACCCTGCGCGCTGATTGAGCCGATACATTCGTGCCCACAGTATCATTTGTCGCCGTGATCGTGGCGCGGTCTCGCCCAGGCTGAAATTTTTCTGATCCGCTTTCCACTCGCTAGACTTACAGTTCCTTGGCGTCGCATGAACATATAGGTTGATATGCCCTGTCGTACTAAAACCCGATTTTCAACAAATTAAAGCGGTAAACCCACAAATCTGGAAGTGAAAGATCAGGAGATGAAAACTGAGGAAGGCACAGACCAAGTCGATAAAAAGGCATCTGAAAACTTTCTCTAAAATTCTGATCAAAACCTACGTAACGGTGGCCGCAAGCCACAAACGATGGTCGATCTCTGTGACGTAAAAGTGCTTCAAAGGAATCATGTCGCCGACTTGGACTAAAAACGCCATTGAAAGCCCCTGAATTAACAAACCAAATGGCGCGTTATCCGCACGCATCAGGAAATACGCCAAAACCACAAATTGTAGGATGGCACTGGAGGTGGAGAAGAGAGCCAATGATAAAATAAGCACCATGAATTGTCTGAAATTTTCATAATTACGAACTTTATAGACAACCTTACTTGTAATTATACTTTCCGACACAATTGTTCAGCCAAACACAATGATGGTCGAAATCCTCGACGCACATGTTGCACCGCCGGCAATGTTTTGTGTCATTCTTCCTAAAAATTATTGAACTGAAGCCGAGACTGAATACGTACACTTGAATTTGACAAATGTTGCAATAGCTGTGTTCGATGACATGTCGATATCGGATTGGATCGTACGGTGCCGGCTTTATCCCCTAAAAGCTCGGTTAACCGGAAAAAGGCCAGGCTAACCAATCTGCGCTTCTGCACGAGAAGCTCAGGTATCGCATCGAATATGGTCAGAATGAACACCTGGATGCTGATGAAAAGAAGTGCTGTAAACATGTTAAGGGAAAGCAATAGGCATTACCCAGCAAATACATCCCGGATAGATACGGCGTCAAGATTGGTAGCGCTGAGAAGGCTTGTAAAGGGAATTGCAAAAGCAACAGCAACCATCCGAATAGCTAAAAAACGAAAGTCATTTCAGGTTAGGCACTCTACAAAAGAGGTCTAAAATAGCAGGCTTCACCGGGCGTCGTTTCGACATGTCGCATTACTTGATATGGCCTTTATCACCTGTGCTATCGATGGTTTCCGTCCGCGCAACATCAACCCCATTTCCACCTGCCTTTCCTCGAGCGCATACAGAACCGCTCTGAATCAAGGATATCTCAATAAATATTGATCGTAAAAATGAAAGATAGTTAGAGGAGTGAAGCAAAGCGGTCAGCTGAAATTAAACCTCGATACTATCCGAAACAACCGAAGCAGCCAGCGCCGAAAAATGCATAGGCACATGCGAATGCCCAAGAACAGGGTTGTCAACCCTATTTTTCTGCAAATACGGCTCCGAAGGACCTCACATAAAAATAGAAGCGGCTTGCCAGTGGGTCACGAAGTAGGTGTATCGCAATCTGCTGCCCCAAACCCCTTTTGGTCCAGGCCCCAGGCCGTTGCCAGGGCAGCACGTTTTTCCACGCCCAGCCAATTACTTCGAAGAAAATGGCGCATTTGCCCCGGCCCTCGAATAGCATCACCCATTCAACTGATTCCGCTCCAATTGCCGTGCTCTGATTTTCCGTATGCGGGTGTAGTAAATGATTTCCAAATAGAACAAAAATTTATAACAACGTGAGCAAAAACAGCAACATTAGTCGAAGAGGCCGAATCCCATATCGTCGTCAGATTCCTCCTTAGGCTCTTCCTTCTTCTTCTTGTCCTCCGCGGGAGCAGCGGCGGCGGCGGCCGGAGCGGCAGCAGCAGCGGGGGCTCCTCCGGATCCGGCGCCAGAAGAGACCGAGGTGATCAGGTTCTAAACAAAGTTACAAAGTAAACTGGTAAATGGTACCTTGACATCGACTCCTTCGAGGGCCTTGGCGAAAAGACCGGGCCAGTAGGGCTCGACCTCAACCTTGGCGGCCTTTAGGAGGGTGGAGATCTTGTCGCCGGTGATCGCGACTTCATCGTCTTGGAGAATCAGGGCAGCGTATACGCAAGCCAGTTCCTCGTTGGAAGCCATTGGTTTGAGGTCGCACAAGGCCTTAGCTCAGTTGAGAACACTAAAAATAAAGTTCTGGTACGTTCACGAAGAGGCCCGATGTCGCGAAAATGGTAAGAGTCCGTTAGAAATCTCGATATGAGCCGAAAGAAACGGCATAATAGAGTCGATTATAACAAAGGTAGGAACGACATATTTATCCAAAAACAACAAGTTAAGCAACAAGAATGCAGGCTCCACCGGCCTCCTTGATCTTCTGTTCGGCGGAGTGAGAGAAAAACTTGGCCTTAACAATAAGGGGCTGCTTGGGGAGGAGTCCTTTGCCGAGCACCTATAAGCACAATTAATGCTACCAGGAATTACTAGTACCTTGTGGAATCCGGCTTGAAGGCAATCGATGACTGGTGCTTTCTCGGCTCCCTTGGCTTGATCTCTTGCTTCTTCGGGGACGAGCGACCACAGCTTGTCGACATTCAAGGTCGGGCAGTAGTAGTGATTTTGACGGAGATGGTAGTTCCTCATGCCGACCTGAAAATAGAGATGTTATGGAATCCAAAAGACATCAATTCTTGTTTCTGACCCAGAGGATAATATTAGGCAATATTTGGACCTAATACCGAAGTAGCCAGACTATCCCGAAGGACATAATTTTGCTCCTGTAACATACACCGAATTTTGTAACCAAATTAGGCGCCAAGACAGGAGCTGACAAGGAATAAAAAAACGACGAACCTTTCCGAAGTAACCTGGATGGTACTTGTCGCGGTTGATGCGGTGGTGATGCTGGCCACCAGCGAAACCACGACCTCCGGGATGCTTCCTGTGCTTGCCAATACGGCCGTGACCATGTGAAACATGGCCTCTCAGCTTTCTCGTCTTTCTTTTAGCCGTGGCCATGGTACCCTGAAAAGGAGAATAAAGTTAATGCTACAAAAACGTAGAATTTGGAAGAAATGAAACGAAAATTCCAGCAAAACACAAGAATTGTCTCCAAAATTCTATGTATAAAGGGCTGTAGTAAAATGCAAGGATTCTCTTTGCGGGCTGGGCAAAGTGGTCCCGTAGCGGGGCTACAGTGCGTGGTCCTCTGCGACGCTGCCCTCCGTTGCCGGGGCGTATCACCTTTCAAAATTTATGCATTTACATGATGAAAAGACGCCCAGGGACTCGGTTCCTAAAGCGCCCGGGGGCGCGCCCCAATCGCGTTGTAACGGCGTATAACCGGTTCTTTAATGCTTTTATTATTTAAAAAAAAGGGCACTGCATCGCTTTTGACGATGCTGTACCCTATACTTATTGTAGATCTTCATCTTCCCTGAGAACATGTTCGTACGGCGCACCTGAAATAGCTTTTTTTTTGTTTTCTTGGCTTTAGCTTTATTTAGAACTTACATACACGTTCGAATGCGCGGCGGGCGGCTCCTAAAAGTGTAGCTAATTAACTAATTTCCTTTATAAACTTCGTAAGCTGCACTTACTTTGTTTCCGCTTCCTGAAAACTTACTTTAACTTCCTTCTTGCCGACTTACGTAGAAACTCCGCTCAAAGATACCGGAAACGTTGCGCTTCGCATTTGCAATGATGGCCATGATCGTCTAAAAGGTTGGCTTATATAGATCGAGAACCTATAAAACTGAATTTAAAATTTCGATTGTTTTTAAAGTTTCGAAGGCATCTGCTGCGTAGGAGAAACTTTACCTGCGTTACCTATACCAGGGCGATTCAAAGTATCGTTATCTACATTCGACGACCAGAACCAAGCAAATCTAGTAACGTTTGTGCTAATTTGTATATTTTAAACATAAATAAGTGCATAATCCAGGAACTTAGGCGTTTTTTCGCAGAATTGAAAGGTGTTCACCATTCAAATGCGCCCGCGGGCGCGCCCCCAATTGCGCCCATGGGCGCTTTTTGCGCCCGGACCGGCGTTGCGCCCTTTTGCGCAAATTGCGCCCTAGGTGCAAAATGGCCCAGTTCGGGCGCGCCCGCGGGCGCTCGGGGTTTTTGGGCGCGCTCGCGGGCGCTTTGCTAACCGAGGATTTTTCCACTTCCAAAAAACTTTGATAGTTTGCGCAAAGATCTCTCGATTTTGAAAATACGCAATGCAAATTGAGATCCCTTTGCTTATTTTACTTCTTATGAAATTTCATCATCCTTCTATGATGTGAGCTTCTGATTGCATCCGAGACCTCCAGATTTCTTACTTCACTAAAGCGCACGTCATCATCTTATAAATCACTTTTAGTTATGGCCGCCGTTGCCCAGAAACTCCTTGGACGACTTGGTACGCTCGGCGTTGCAGTTGCGATCGGAGGTGGCGTCGCGCAGAGCGCTCTTTATAACGGTCGGCATTAACCACTTTCAAGCAACTTTCTTTAGTTGATGGTGGCCAGCGCGCTGTGATTTTCGACCGATTTGCTGGAGTGAAGGATGCCGTCGCTGGGGAAGGCACCCACTTCTTGATCCCGTGGGTCCAGAAGCCGATCATCTTCGATATCCGCTCGACCCCCAGAGCTGTCTCCACCATCACTGGCTCCAAAGGTTAGATTTATTGGAGGGTTTATCATTTTTTTTAGATCTCCAAAACGTTACGATCACTCTTCGCATCCTGCACCGCCCAGACCCCTCCAAGTTGCCGAGCATCTACTTGAACATTGGCCTCGACTATGCCGAGCGCGTTCTGCCCTCCATTACCAATGAAGTGCTCAAGGCTGTTGTGGTACGTTTTAGCTTTAAAAACATTAATTGTCTATTTAGGCTCAATTCGACGCCCATGAAATGATCACCCAGCGCGAGTTGGTCTCTCAACGTGTCTCCGTCGAGCTTTGCCAACGCGCTGCTCAGTTCGGTCTTCTCCTAGATGATATTTCAATTGTAAGTTTTGTTTGTTGGCTCAACGTTTCCTTTTAGACCCATCTTGGCTTCGGAAAGGAATTCACGGAGGCTGTTGAAGCCAAGCAGGTCGCGCAGCAGGATGCCGAGAAAGCTAGGTGAGATATTTTTCTAGTTCCGAGAAATTTATTCTTTTAGGTATCTCGTAGAGAAGGCTGAGCAGATGAAGAAAGCCGCCATCACTTCTGCAGAAGGTGACGCGCAAGCCGCTCGACTTATTGCCAAGGTCATATTTATACACTAACTTTAACTCTAGATTTAGGCGTTCGCTGAGGCTGGCGAAGGACTCGTTGAGCTTCGAAAGATTGAAGCCGCCGAAGACATCTCGAAGAAAATGGCTGGCAGCAGGAACGTCGTCTTCCTCCCCGGCAATCAAAGCACTCTCCTGAATCTCCCCATGAATTAAATTCCGCCATTAGTTGCTCTGGCTTCGCTGGTCTACTGACGTGTTGATCCTCATTTTGCTCCCGTTCTTTTTTACAGCATTGTTAAGGTACTTGATTGTTTCCTGTTTTAGCGTAGCGTTAGGAATTACCACATTAGTTTTGTTTTGTTTGATGAGTACCGCCAAGATAAACGTTGTCTTTTTAGAGTTGTTCTCGTTTTCTGGTCGTTGGCCAATTTCATATCTGGACTTCATAGGCATTCTTCAGTGGGATTAATATAGATTTAGCCATGGTTCTCTCATGTCGTTTTTACGCTAATGAGTATCCCGATGCCGATGACACGGTGATGGTGAATGTTCGACAGATTGCGGAAATGGGAGCTTATGTCCGGTTATTGGAATTCAACAACAAAGGTACCCTTAATAAGTCGACGATTACTCGTGTCAGAGGGTATGATTTTGCTCTCTGAGCTCTCCCGGCGTCGTATTCGCTCCGTGAATAAGCTAATTCGCGTCGGCCGCAATGAATGTGTGGTTGTGATTCGGGTGGACAAGGATAAAGGTATTTTCTAGATCGTTTCTTTTCAAATGTTTTTAGGTTACATCGATTTGTCCAAGCGACGCGTCTACGCGAAAGACATGGCACTATGCGAGGAACGCTTCGCAAAGGTACACCTAAATTTGGTCGCGGACTTGTCTGATTTTTAGGCAAAAGCTGTGAACAGCATTCTACGCCACGTTGCCGAGCAACTTGGATACGAACAAGACTCTCAATTGGAAGAGTTGTACGAGAAGTAAGCATTTTCGGTCCGGCAATAATCTCAACCCCAAGGACCGCTTGGCACTTTGATCGCAAGGAAAAGAAGAAGGCTGCTTGTTACGACGTCTTCAAGAAGGCCATCCAGTAAGCCATTGCTTTTTACATACGTTTTGCTTGCAGGGATGCCACGGTGTTCGATGAGTGCGACATTTCGGCTGACATCAAGGAAAAGCTCCTCGAGGACATCAGAAAGAAACTGACTCCCCAGGTATGTCCTCCCATGTTTGCCTGAATGTTTTCCAGGCTGTGAAAATCCGTGCCGATATCGAGGTGACATGCTTCTCCTACGCTGGAATCAGTGCTATCAAGGAGGCGTTGATTGCCGGCAAAAATTGCTCCACTGACCTCATGCCGATCAAGGTACAATTTTCTGCATTAGGCCAATCTTGAGTGTCTAGATTAATTTGATCGCTGCCCCGCTTTTCGTCGTCACTGCGTCTTCGATGGAAAAGGATGAAGGCTTGGCCGCCGTCCAAAACGCGCTGGACGTCATCGGCAAAACGATAGAAAGCCATGGCGGGAAATTTAACATCAAGGAAGCGGTACGGAATGAAGGGCTGCTTCTTATGAACTGTTTAGGCACGCGTTGTCAGCGAGTTTGAGGACGATGAGGCACGCAGGCGGAAAGAGGCTTTGGAAGAGGAAGAGGAAGATGAGGTAAAGGAAATATCGTCTTCGAAACTATTTTCTTCAGACTGACGAGGACGAGGATGAGGAGTCGGGCTCAGAAGAAGAAGGCCTTGTTGCGCCGAAAGGCTTGGATCAGCAAATGGACGAACAGGAGGCCAGCCAAGGCGCCAAGCGGAACGGCAAGGAAGAAGATGAAGACAGCGACTAGGACAAGTGCGCTCCAAATGTTTTTGACTTTCCCTCCCTCCCCGACTTTTCTAGCCCCGCCGTGCCCCACCTACTCGTCCAAGCCCTTGGTTAGCTAGGTGGGGCGCCTTCCTAAAAAATTTGCTTGTTACATTTGGAGCGCGGTGATTTTATAACTGTTTTGTTGGCTTTCGATTTTACATAAACTTATTTTATCCACATACACAAATGAACGATCATGGATGGGGGCAAGTGGAACGAACTTTCGATGTGTCCCTGGGGAGATAAAGCAAGGGGTTAATCGGCCTGGCGCATTCTTGGACGGCGCGGGCTTTTGCCGACTCGTAGAGCCGTTTATCATTTCTCCAGATATTGGGACGCGGGCGTCGTTATCCGGGGTCCAAAGACGCTTTCGCATCCGAGAATTCGGCGTAGGCGCGACATTCATCAGGGGCCGATTTTATCCGTAGGATGTCATTGGGTACTGAGAGGGCCCACGAACGGCTCTTGACGGAAATGAGGCCATGGATGGGTGTTCGACGATGGTAAGGATTGTTTTTGTTTCGTCAGATTCGGGATGTGAATCAGTGGGACCGACTGCAGGTTGTTAACATCTTTTTATACGATTTAGTTATCAAAAATACTATAAACGTTATAAAAGCCAAGAATTTGACACCCGCTAAAAGACCAGAGCCGGTTTCCCTACTCCCAACTTCCGGAAGTTGCAAAACGTGCAGAGTATTGGGTTCGACGAGGTTTCTTGACTCGGGCGGAAAGATGGCCTCAGCGGGCTTGGTTGGTGGGGTTGGGTATGAGTTGAGTGGGCAAAGCTATGAGGGATGGCCGGCCTATAGGGAGATCCTTTTTGGCTATCAAACACATTGCCCCCTACCCCAAGCCCCCAAGCGCCGATTTATCATGTCGATTTGCGATTCGGAGGCCCAAAAGCTACCACACCCCCAAAACCGAGTCCCCATCTTGGGTCCTTCCTCGGCACTAGTTTTGTGACTCGGCCGAGCCGTTAGTAACTAGACCGAAGGGTTTCTAGTACTTCTCTGTTAGCGGGGGAACCAAATTTGTGGTTTTTCGTATACCCAGCAAAAAAAAATTAAAATTCACGATTTTTGAAACTATTTTTGGCCATTCTCAGGCATTTTTATACCGGCGTGGCTCATTATTTTTTTCTACGATGTTGAAGCTTCAGTGATAAATTGTAACGATTTTCGAAATATTTTTACTTATTTTTTCAAGCGAAAAGCACCAAAAAACTTTTTGAAAAATCCCGATTGTTCTATGAAAAAACTTTTTTAATTCTCCGATTTTTCCCGAATTTTTAAGCCCTTCCAAAGTTCCCTCCGTTCCACCTTTCCATACCTATTCCAGTGGAAATTACACACCCCTCGATCCTTCCGAAACCTTATCCATCGAAATGAGGCCACTTGATACAAGTCCGTCCACCCCACCGGGGTTTATCATCATTTTTTGCGCGCATTCCCCTCCTCGGAAATGACCAAACTGTGGCGCATCCAAGGAGGAGGAGGAGATGCTGCTCCTCCTGCTCCTCAAGCGGGACAACCGGGACGGGTGAAAAACGGGCCGTAAACTGCCGATTCGGAGTACCATTCGGATCGCGGTGTGTGGGCCTGAAATTTCCGAACAGTCATTCCTCGTGCCCGAATTATCGGACTTTATGAGGAGCCGTGCCAGGACTTGTATCTCGAGAGAAATGAAAAGATTTTATGGTGGAATATTATAAAAAATGAGCGGAAATGAAATTCATAAAAAACAGTGTTTTTTAACGATTTTTTGCTAAAATTTCAGATTTTAAAAATAGTTCCCAGTGATTTTTCCATTTTAAAAATATTTAAATCTTACTAAAAGCGGTATTAGGATAGATGAGAGTACCTTGCTAGAGATTTCTGGATTTACAAAACCTCCCTTCCCCGCCCCCCCTCGATAATGCCAAAGTGACTTTTCGAGCGGGATATTTTTGTTTGACTGCTGGAAAATCTGTTTCCCGAATAATCTCTGCTAGCCCTCCCCTACATCATCGATAAAACGGGGGGTAAATGTCTGGGCCACCCAGGTGATCGGTGGCCATTATCCCAGATGGGCCCCCGGGGGTAGGGCCCACTTTTTGAGGTCTAGGTCGTTTCGGGAGGTGGATCCGTTGCTCAAAGTGTTGAGTACCACCCGCTACCTGAATGAGTGGCCGGTGTAAATCCATCAATTCCCGCTGCCCTACACATCCGCTTCTCCAGCTGCACTTTTTATCAAAACGCTCGATTTTTTGGGGTGCTAAAATATTTGAGGTCAATTTTGTTTCTATTTAAACTTTGGGAGCAAAAAATTACGATCATGTTACAGAGCAACGATCCATAAAAATACTAAAATACCGTTATCCGAATTCCGACAGCCAAAATCCCGACGGCAAAACTCCCCGCAGTCACAACCCCCGACATGCTAGAATCCCGACGACCAAAATCTCGACGGCCAAAATACTGACAGCAAAAATACGGATAGCCAAAATACTGACAGACCCATATCACGACATCCATAATCATGCCAGCAAAATACGGACATCCAAAAGCCTCGATAAACCGACACCCCGACCGCCGAAAACCCCGACAGCAAAAATCCCGACATTCGAAATGCCGGTAGCCATAATTACGACAGAAAAAAATTTCGCCATAGTCTTGACGCGATCTGGAATGCCGCTTCCATTTAGGCAGCTATTTTGGCCCGTCGGTATTTTGGCTGTCGGTATTTTAGCCTGTCGGAATTATGTGGGGTGGGAATTTGGTTATCGGGATTTTCGCTGTCGGCAATATGGTTGGTGTCGGCATTTCGGCCATCGTGGGTTCCGCCTGTCGCCTGTCGGGATTCTGGCTGTCGGTATTTTGATCTGTCGGGGGCGTAGGCTGTCGGGATTACGTCAATCGGGATTTTCGCCTGTCACCTGCCGAGATTTTAACTTGTCGGGATTTCGGCCTTTTGGGTTATGGTTTCGGGATTTTTGACTGTCATGATTTTGACGCTTCCCGATAAAATAGCCTTCCCCCTAAAACGTTCATTGTCTTCCACCGTAGAGATCCCTTACAATAAAAGCACTCCCCCGTGTGTTTTTTATAAGAAGTTCCGTGCCCCTTCCAATGGAGATGGGTTCGGGTAATAAAATGGCCATTATTGAGGCTGGAGGAATTTGAGAGGGGGCGTGGCCTATCCTCTCTGTCTCCCCTGATATCACTCCCATTTCATAACTCCATGGGATACGGTATCGAATGGGGGAAAATTGGATTCAGCTCGTTTTTGATAGCCACACGCTCTCTTGCATTATCGGGGGGGGGACTAATTTTTCTTATAATTCTAGAAATTATTAGTAACGTTGTTTTCGGAGTTTTAATTATGTTTTGGAAAAATTTAACTTGATTTTAGTTCTGAAAACTGAATATTAGAAGGATACGAAATTTTTGGTAAAAAAATCGGCCATTAAAATTCGTAGTCTTTGCATATTTTGTTGCTTTACGTTTAGGAATTCTCCATACCCCCCCTGATATGGCCAAAGTACCGTAATTTGCGATTATTATAAAAATCCGCCTCAATGCCACCCAACCCACGCCTGGTACATTGGTTAAGTTCTCACCTCAAAATCTCAAGGCCCAAGTTCAAATCCACGCCCCGCCAAACTTTGTGCTTTTTGCGAATCAGCTGCCCTGAACCCGATAAAAGGCTAATGAAATGGCGGAGAATGGATGGAGTAACCGGGAATGGCCCTTTTACAAGACGAGTTCCCTCCTCCCCCCTCTTCCTCCCCAATCAAATCGGCAATCGGGGAGGGAGAGAGAGTGAAGGAAGATGGAGAGACGCAAAGGACGGCAGACGGACAGATCGAGGAGTTTCGCCTTGGCATTACCTCTGATTCGCATTTGGACGATAGATAGAGAGAGAGAGAGAGAGAGAGGGAGGGTGAGAGAGAGAGAGAGCAGGAAAGAAGGGGATGACCAATCGAACACGCGCCCATTTCATGTTCCAGTAAAGGGGGGTAGGCTCTTCATTTTATACTTTTACGTTTTCATCAGGCTTGGCAGGTTCTCTCTGTCTCTGTCTATATCTCTCTCGCTCTCTATTTCTCTCTTTCTCTCTTACTCTCTTGCTCTCTTTCTCTCGCTCTCATTTTCTCCCGCTCTCTCGTGCTCTCTCGTGCTCATTCTCTCGTGCTTCGCTCTCTGTCTCTCTCTTTCGCGCTCTCTCGCTTTCGCTCGTCCTCCATGCCTCGTAATCTAGTTATAAATCCGTTTTTCATACTTTTACACTTTTTTCATCCGATTACGACATGTATCTCGTGTCCTAAATGAGCTCTGCAAGCTAGCCAAAGTCGTTTTTACGCCCTTTAAACCTACTTCCAGGCAGATTTATGTGGAAAATCCCTTCCCAAGAATTTTTGAATCTTTAAGTGTTGCCAATGAGCCGCTTTCCACTGGTCCCAGTCCCTTTAAGGGGACCGGTAAGACATGGCTAGTCCTGCCTTCCGTGTTTTTTGACCACTGATCCATAACCATGCCTTGCCAATCCCTTTAAACCCCCAAATACTCTCCCTCTCCAAAAACGGTTTGCCCATCGGCGGCACTAAACGCGATTTGTGCCCTCTAATTCGACGAGGGCGACAAGGTCAAAACGGAGACTCACTCGATTCACCTCAAAAACAGAGCCAAGAAATTAAAGGGATACGCAATGGAAGGGGATGGAAAAGAAAAAGAAATGGAAGGAAGGGGGTAGAAGATATAATCTACCTGTACGAAGTGGGGGTGTGCATCCATCTGTCACTCCCGATTGTTGCCCTGTCCACACAATTCCATTTCTTTACTATCTACAAATGCCATCGCCTTTTTGCCGTCTATTGGCGCGTCGCGTAGTGAACGGTCTGGCAGTGTCGGGGTGTTTAATTTGGAACCGGTGATTCGATGGGCATTTGGAGTCATTTCTCTCTGTCTCTGGCTCTCTCTCTCTCTCTCACTCTAT